TGTGAAAAGGATGGTCCAAACTCCAAAGTCTTCGTTTTATTTCTAAAAAATAAGTTTATCCTCGTTACGAAACAATTAATAATAAAAAAATTAGGCTTCTGAAAACGTACAAAAAAAAAACACGGATATAATATTTTTTGAAAGCTCATATATCTATCTATCTATCTATCTATCTATATATATAGATATATATACGCATATCTAATGATTGGCGTTTGTTTCTTGGTTTTGGGCAGGAACAGAAAGAGTTGCTGAAGAAGAAGAATCCAGAGAGAGAGAGAGAGAGAGAGAGAGGGGTTAAAAATGGCGGACGAAACTGACATAGAGGTAGAGAGATTAGAGAGAGAAGGATCCGGAGCGTGTTTGAAAGAGCCGCTTCTCAAAAGTAGGATCAAATACACCTCTCAGATTGCCATTGTCGGTGCCAATGTCTGCCCGATCGAGAGTCTCGATTACGAGTATGTCGTCTTTTTTTTATCACCTCTCTTTCCTCTTCTCCGATTCTTTTCGTCTCCGGATTCTGTTTGGTTGCCCTGAAAATCGACGGAAAATGTCTTTGGATTTTGATTCTCTTGTGACTTGTTATGATATATGGTTTTTAGTGTTGAATTATATTCTCGTCGTGTGATTGCTATTTTAGTTTAGATTATCCTTTGTTTTGTTTGCCATAACACAGAGAAAAAGGATCGAAAATATAAGATTGTTTATGTTTAATCATATACATATATATTTTTGAAAAGAAATTCCTCGTTTTTTAACCAACATCAGGTGATTAAGAATAGCTGGTTTATTAATACAAAAATTGATCTCAGTTTAGTTAATATTTTTTCAATGTTAAATAAATGTTATACATTTATTTTGGATTTTTACCGTATAGTTTTTTCTTAATCCATATTTGATTCCTTTTCTCAACACCGTTTGTTTTGTTTGAGGAAGAGAAGGCACGCAGGGAAAAGACAAAAAAAAAATTAATCTCTCTTTTTTTTTTTTTTTTTTTTTTTTGTGGATGATTTATCTTAGAGGACGTCCAAACATCCTCTTAATTTTTTTTTTTTTTTTGTGTGGATGATCATCTTAGAGGACGTCCAAACATCCTCTTAATCTGAATTGAATGGCTGTTTAACGGTATCACCATATCAGTTTCTATTGTTTCAATTTTTTTAAAAAAATAATTAAACTAAAACGGTTGATTGAAAGCTCGATTTACTTTTTTTTTTTTTCCCCTTTCTTTGCTAATCAAAGCTCGATTTACTTTGTTCATAAATATTGTATGCATACGTTATATACGTATGAATGTGTGCATATACACGTATGGGTCTTGACCTGCTTGTTTGCATGTATCTATATCCAAGGTATGAAGTGTATAATTATATTAGTATTGTATTGGTTGTTTGGTTTGTTATCATCTCCATTACTCTTTCATTGGTCTTATCTAATAAATACTAATATATATATATATATATTATTTTTTTTTCCTTTATGAAATTCTGATTAATAGATATTTGCTACTATCCTATTAACAAAGGTTCCTTAACATGTTGCATATCAATATACTTGGAATATTAAAGTTATAGTGACAAGCCATTAATTGTTCCGTAGCATGATAACTGTAGAATCTAGATGGGCTAATAGCTCTTTAAATGTTAATCTTTTGGTGTCATCTCATTGAAAGAAACTTCATACTTTTTGGAGTTTTTAGTTCGACAACACACAGTGGTCTGGATGTCTATTTGGAGAAATGAACCTCGTTCATTTCACTAATTCGAGTTTTGCTACAGTAAAAGGCTCTCACATAAAGTCAGATCTCAACTCGAATTAGCGAACTAAACGTGCCCGAAGTACTTAACCGTGCTACGATTTAGTTATCTCAAAAGCCAGAAAGAATTTCTTATTCTGGCAAATTGTTCATGGAATGCTGTGTTTTATTGAAAATCTTCTTTAACACGTATATGCGGTTACTCACTCAATTCTCCCTTTTGTTTTGGTAGGATTGTTGAGAATGATCTCTTTAAGCAGGACTGGAGATCTAGGAAAAAGGTGGAGATATATCAGTATGTTTTCTTTAAATGGGCCCTAGCACTTCTAATTGGGTTATGTACTGGCCTTGTCGGGTTCTTTAATAACATCGCGGTTGAAAATATAGCCGGCTTCAAACTTCTTCTCACAAACAATCTCATGCTTAAGGAAAAGTAAGCCTGACTGCTACTGCCTGAATTTTGTCCAGTTTTCATGAATATTGCCTAGTTTTCAATGCAATAAAACCTTTTCCACTTTGTAATATGGATTATGGATCTATTTATTTAGCATGTGCATTTTTGCCAGTTGACTGTTTTTCTTGGGATAAAACATTGTTCATTTCTGTAATGAGTGTTTTCAAATGGCAGGACATGTTTTAATGTCTTGCCTTGTTTCTTAAGAATAGCTTGAATTGCTAATGCATTTTGGGTTTATTTCGAAAGTTATTGACTACTAGGTTTTAGCCTTAAAGGGCCTACACTAGACATTTCATTTTCAAGTCAATGACAGTTTATGTTCAGCGATATTGTGGGAATTGTACGGCATTTTCACTTGCACAAGTTAATGTATCCTACTAAAGTAATCTAATCTACTCAAATTAAGCTTTTGTCTGCGTTTCTGAGATGTATCCATTATCCTAGTAACTTACTTGGGGGTTCTTTTTCCCATCTTAACCTTTTTTTTTATTATATTTTTTATTTTGTTGGGTTTTGGTTCGTGTGCGTGTGGACGAATGGATTACCTTGTTGTATTTAACTCCAGTGCAGGTATTTTCTGGCATTTATTGTATATGTTAGTTGTAATATGGTGTTGGCTGCTGCTGCTGCGGTCCTTTGTGCCTACATTGCCCCTGCAGCAGCAGGTTCCGGAATACCTGAGGTGAAAGCATACCTTAACGGTATAGATGCTCATTCTATATTGGCACCAAGTACTCTCTTTGTAAAGGTGAACTGCAAACTGAAACTATCTATTTTTCTGGAAATACAGTATACCAATTTTTGACGGTCCATTTAATGAGTATAGCAGAAAAAACTTCTCGTAAGCTTCACATATTTTTCCTGAAGTGTAGCAAACTACTAAATTATTTTATAGTAACATTTATGATTATATAAAGTTAAGGACAGTCTCGAAGTTTTGCATCTCTAGAGGTATTGGCTTTCCAGTGGTGTAAATGACTTATAAATTCTTCTATAATAATATTAGTGTAAATATAAAGTTTGACTTTCTTGAAGTTGTGCTGATTATCACTGTTTCTGCGTGTCTGAGTTGTTTGTTATTTTCGTACTTTTCCCCCTCCATTTCTCTAATTTATTCATCAGTATCCCTAACTTGATAAAGTCAATGAATCAACCAGACCTAGAAATGATATTATTTAAAGCCATGGGTGTTTTTGTGACTTGGAGCGTAAAGTTGAAGGTACATGGGGCACCCAAAGATGATTACCTGAAACCAAGAACAAATTAAATAAGCTTGTGATTGCATGTTCTTGGCAGATTTTCGGTTCCATTTTTGGAGTAGCAGCTGGATTTGTTGTGGGTAAGGAAGGACCTATGGTGCACACTGGCTCCTGCATAGCTTCATTGCTCGGTCAGGGTGGTTCTCGCAAGTATCGTTTGACTTGGAAATGGCTCAGATTCTTCAAAAATGATAGAGACCGTCGGGATCTGATTACCTGTGGTGCTGCTGCTGGTGTTGCAGCTGCATTCCGTGCGCCTGTTGGTGGGGTCCTCTTTGCACTTGAAGAGGCAGCTTCATGGTCTCTCTCTCTCTCTCTCTCTCTCTCTCTCTATATATATATATATATATATATTTATATTTATATTTATATATAAATTTACCTAGACACATGTAGCGCAGACACATTTACCTGATCACATATCCCACTTTTATCTGCACGTGATTGTCAACATCCTTTGGTTGGTGAAAATAGAGAAGAACATGTAAGGATACTCAATGTGTTGGCCACATGAAAGTTTAGTAATTGAGGGTTTTGTCTGTTGTTATTCTTATTTTTGTCTGGCTATTAATTGCAACTCATAGGTCTCAATTTGAAAGTGGCAGTTCTCTCTTGTTTTTGTTTGGTTTACTCAATAGTCAAAAGGAAAATTTATTGGAGCTAAAAGATTGATGAATATGTAAAAAAGACATTGAATGCTTCCAAAATTCTCCAAACAGGTCTATTAAACAGCTTATTTATTCAGGAGACTTAGAGTCCTCATCAGTAATAATATTATCACCACTCTCACAGTATTTAGTTTTTATCGTCTCCGTCTTCTATTCTAACGTAATCTGCATCTACTGTAGGTGGAGAAGTGCTCTTCTTTGGAGGACATTTTTTACAACAGCTGTAGTAGCAGTGGTGTTGAGAGGTTTCATGGGAATTTGCAAAGGTGGTAAATGTGGATTATTTGGGGAAGGAGGTCTGATCATGTTTGATGTCACTTCAACAAAAGCTGCTTACAATGCAGCAGATCTATTGGCAGTAATATTCCTGGGAATCATTGGAGGCATTCTAGGAAGCCTTTACAACTTTTTTGTTAACAAAGTCCTCCGCATTTATAGCATCATTAATGAGTATGCCGTGACCTTTCTCTATTGCTTTTATTTGTCACGTGTTGTCATTACAAACATGATACTTTAAAAATGAAAAAGAAAAATTACAGACGCAAAAATTAACATATATAAGCCAATATTTTTGCTCCCCTTGCTCATTACTATAAAAATGCTGTAGTGATTTGAAGATTAACTGTTCTCTTTATCGTCCTCAATAATGAGCACAGAATTGTAGACTTTGATGTAGTTCCATTGGCCTTAAAATTGAAAAATAAAAATAAAAATAAAAAATTGATGTTTCTGACTATTTTGAATCAATTGCAGGAGAGGTCCTTTATTCAAAGTTATTCTTGTCTTGACCATTTCCATCTTGACATCGTGTTGCTCGTATGGACTTCCATGGCTCTCACAGTGCACTCCATGTCCGCCTTACCTCGAGGACCAGTGCCCCACCATAGGTCGCTGTGGGAACTACAAGAATTTCCAATGTCCACCTAACCAGTACAATGACCTTGCCTCCCTATTTTTCAATACCAATGATGATGCTATCCGGAACCTATTTAGCGCAGGCTCTGAAAAAGAATTTCACCTCAGCACTCTTTTCGTTTTCTTCATTGCGATTTATTTTCTTGGCATAATCACTTATGGAATTGCTGTTCCCTCAGGCCTTTTCATCCCTGTTATACTTGCTGGGGCCTCTTATGGGCGCCTTGTTGGCACTCTCGTTGGTTACTTCTCCGATCTTGATTCAGGTCTCTTTGCCCTTCTTGGAGCTGCGTCTTTCCTTGGTGGCACCATGAGAATGACAGTGTCACTTTGTGTCATACTTCTTGAGCTAACGAATAATCTGTTGATGCTCCCATTGATGATGCTTGTTCTGCTTATTTCAAAAACTGTGGCTGATTGTTTCAACAAAGGTGTGTATGACCAAATTCTGGTATTGAAGGGGCTGCCTTATATGGAAGCGCATGCAGAGCCGTACATGAGAAATTTGATTGCTAGTGATGTTGTCTCTGGTCCGCTAGTTACATTTTCCGGAATCGAGAAAGTGGGCAATATATTGCTCGCTTTGAAGATTACAAGGCATAACGGGTTTCCTGTGATCGACGAGCCTCCTTTATCTGATGCTCCGGAGTTGTGTGGTCTTGTTTTGAGGTCACATTTGCTCGTGCTGCTTAAAGGAAAGAAGTTTTCTGAACAGAGGGTGATGACAGGATCACAAATTATGAGGAAGATCAAAGCACATGATTTTGCAAAGGCTGGATCGGGAAAGGGAATCAAGCTAGAGGATTTGGACATCACAGAAGCGGAAATGGAGATGTACGTCGATCTCCATCCCATTACTAATGCTTCTCCATACACTGTGGTGGAAACAATGTCTCTAGCCAAAGCTGCAGTTCTCTTTAGGGACCTTGGCCTTAGGCACTTATTGGTGGTGCCGAAGACACCCGGGGTAAGAGGACTTTAATCTCTTTTATCTTTGAATCTTGGGTTATCCGAATTGTTAATTCTTGAATAACGAGCATCATGTTAATTTGGTTCTTGAACTTTAAATTTTGACAAAATATTACATGGACCTTTTTTTTCTTCTTCTTTTTTTTTTTATTTTTTATTTTTACCGTTTTTATCCTTGACACTAAAATTCAAGAAGGATTTCAGAAATTTCACAAAGAAAATCAAGTCCCAATCACATTTGTAACGCAAAATATTATCCTTATTGTTATTAAAAACCTTTAAAAACTAAAATATTTTGCATTCAAGGTAACTATTGTCGTAAAATAATTCAGTTACTATGTGATTGGGACGTGATCATCTTTAAGAAATTTGAGAAGCCATTATCCAATTCTAGTTTCAGTGTGAAAAAATCAAAACTTAAGGGGTGAAGTTGTCAAAATTAAAAGTTCAGGACCAAAGTGACACAATGTTCATAATTGAGGCACTAATAGTACTAAACTCTTGAATCTTTCTCTCACACAAAACACACATGTCCACCGATATGCATGTCAAATGTAGCTAAAACTACATCCAAGTTATGGTTCTGTGATTTTGGCTCTTGAACTTTTTTCATGAAATGCTGCACTTGCAGAGACCTCCAATAGTTGGGATCTTGACACGGCACGACTTCATGCCGGAGCACGTTTTGGGACTCTATCCGCACATCAATCTCCAGTCCCACAAGTAGAGGAAGCTATCAACCTCTTAAGAATTTTGGCAATGGTGACATCCTAATCATATTTATTTTATCAATATAGCCATTTTCTGTTTCTTGTAATTATTGTTAACATATCGATTCGAATCAAAATTATCATTTGAAAAAACCAATATTTATTTGGTTTTTTATCCTTCGAAAAAACCAATATTTATTTATATAGAAACCAATATTTATTTATCTAGAAACCAATATTTATTTATGTAGACTAAAAAGAGCCAGTGAGCCATCCATTGTTCGTCTTCGTCCCTGTTAATACAACTGCTCTCTTCCCTTCTCTCTCTCTTTTTTTTCTTTTTTTTTCTTGTATAGGAAAATAATACTTAAATAGCTAAATCTATACTCAGTTTCCAATTTTTGTGTACATTACAATTTTATTGAATAAATGGCTCTTGGAGAATCATACATATTTGTATATTTTCTTTTTCTTTCCTATTTTGATCTTACCACTGCTTATTCTATTTATTCTAGGGCAAGATACACTGTACTTAAAGCTTCCTGGGATGTATATAATTTGTGTGTAAAAGTGGCTTGATCAAGGCTTTTTAACGGCAGATTTGACGATGAATTTTTTATTTAACGGAAAAAAAATGAGAATTTTACTATTGATATTAATTCCTATTAGTAAAGTTCTGTTTTGATTTGCCGAATTTGTACTAGATTCTTAATTTTGTGTACTTTTTTATTTTAATTCAATCATAAGTTTCACGTTCATTTAGAAACATGCATCGCGAATAAAGATGACGTATTATAGAAAATTCAAGGAAAAAATGGATAAATGTCAGCGGAGTTATGAACATAAAAAACTCAAAACATTAAAGGGTAAACATGAAAATTCCCTTTAATTATAGCCCTGTAACAATGTGCCATTGAATTTTATAACTTAATATCGGTTCCTTCCAAGGATTGTAATTCGTGTCACGTATCATATTTTGATTATTTCTTTCTAAATTTATAATCAATTCGAACACGATTCGTGACACGAAATTTTTTAAAAACCACAACACGAACACGACACGATCACTTTTGGGTTGACACGACACGACATGAAAATGACCCGTGAACCCGAAATTGATACAAAAATTGTATACTACTTTATTTAATTTTTTACATATTAGAAATAATTTAAAATTCATAACACACTAAAATACAATAACATCCATTGAAATTAAGCAAATAATACTATGAGATTTTGAGTATACCTATCATGATATTACAAATTCATAATAAAATCAAAAATATGTAATGAAAAATATATGTATTTTTTAGTTTTTTACGAGTTTCGTGTCATGTTCGGGTTAGGCAGGTCCAACCCGAAATTGACTCCTATTTTTCGTGTCAAAGTCAACCCAATTCTGACCCGAACCTCTTTTTTCTCAACCCTAACTCGTGAAATTCGTGTCGTTTTCGAGTCGTGTTGTCGTTTCATGACCCATATTGCCGGCCCTAGTTCCTCCTATGTAGAAATGTTAAGGAAAAAAAAAAAACTCCTTTTTGTTACGACTTTGAATATAAATTCATTGAATAATGTAGGGTATTTTGACAACTCTATTATGTTTAAAGCTAACTTGAGTATTAAAGTTGTATTGATTTAAAAAAATCTACTTGTCCAAAAAAATTAAAGAACTTCAAAATTTTAAATATAATGGGGCTGTTCGGCATGGTTAAAAACTCAAAAAAAGGTAACTCGAGTTCCAACTTTATTTGAGTTCATGTTCTTTTAAGTTTGAACTCGAGTTTGGGACTAAAAATCGAGTTCAAGTTTCCCCTTCAACTCGAATTCAGAAACTCGAACTCAAATTAATAAACAGTATTTTTTCTATTCTTAAAAATGCTATAACTTTTTCGTTTTAATCCTGATTAAGATGATTTTTTTCTATGCGTTGACAACGAAAAGACGAATAAAATCTCACCCATATACCCTATTAAAATTTTTCATCAGCATTGAGTTTTTATTAAAATACTATCTAAATACAAATTCAAGTTTTGACTCACTCAAACACAAACTCAAAAAAGATTCTTATCTTAAACCATAACTCAAATGTACACAACCAAACACAAACTCAAGTTACAACTTCAACTCAAGTTATAATTCAAATTCAACTCAAAAACTACACTCAAGTCACACTCCAAAAGAACATGCCAAACATATCTCTCCTCTCATCTTCCCTTTTTTTTTTTTAAACTGCACAAGGAGGATTTAGTATAACAGTTGTCCATTAAATTGTTAAGCAACCCCCATTTTATACACGGGTTATTTATGTTAAAATCTTAACAAAAAGATTTTTTTTAAACATTTGACGCATTGAGAGAAGTGCGTGTTACGTTTTGAAAAGGGTTTTAATTTTTAAATGCTATAGTCGGGTGAGACTTTTTACAATGATATTTTACATATTCGCTCTTAAACTTTTTTTTTTTTTTGTTAGTTATATTTGCTCTTAAACTTATAGGGTTTTAGCAATTTATTTCTAAATTTTTAATTTTAGCAATATGCCATTTAAAATTTTAAAATTATTGCATTGTGCACCATTTAACTAATGTTGCTATTTTTTTTTTTTATCAAATTTAAGGATTAATAAGATATGAAAAATTAAGAAATTTGTGTTACGATTTAAATTGAAATGTTGTAATTTTTTTTATTGAACGTGATTGTTTGTCACCAATTTAACACTATTATTATCCAAATGGCGTACATTGTAATAGTTTCTAAATTTGGGAGATGAATTGTCAAAATTATATGGACAAACTTGAACTTTGTCACTTGCGTTAACATGCTCCCGAACTTTAAAATGTACATATTCTACTCCAGAACTGTGACATGTCTCTAACTTCCCCCCTCTGATTGATTCCATCAATTTTTTTAACATAAAATGCTTATAAATCCCTCGTAAACTTTTAAAATGTACCTATTGTGCCCCCGAACTTTGATTTGTCTCTACCTTTTTCTCATCTATCTTGATTCTATCAATTTTTTGAACGAAAATGTTGATAGTCATTAAATTATTAATTATGCATGATATTTGGGGTTTATTGAATGCCTTTCCCTTCAAAAACATTAGTTAAATACTAATTCTTAAAATATTAGATGGTTAGAGGCAATAAAGAGAGAAAAAAAGATGAGCAAACCTATAAAATGTATTGACCTTTGTTAGAAAAACCTTAACAAAGTCATTACTTTTTACAGATCTGTTTTTTATTTTTCTCTCTCTTTATTGCCTCTAACCAATTAATGTTTTAAAAATTGTGCCTAACTAATGTTTTTGGAGGGAAAAATATTCAATAAACCTAAAATATCATACATAATTAGTAATTTAATGAATATATTAACATTTTCTTTTAAAATTTGATAGAATCAAGATGAATGGGGAAAAGTTAGAAACATATTATAGTTTGATGGGCACAACATGTACATTTTAACAGAAATGTTTATAAATTCTCCGTAAACATAAGTGACTAAGTTTACGGAGAATTTATAAGCATTTCTGTTAAAAAATTGATGGAATCATAGAGAGGAGGGAAAGTTGGAGACATGTTATAATTTATGGGCACAACATGTACGTTTTAAAATTTAAAAGACATGCTGACACAAACAAAATTCAAGGAAAATTTATCCAAATTATAAATTTATTAGGTAAGTTAGTGAAAATACTTTTTTATAATTAATTCATGAGATTTTTTTTTGTAAGGCTTTTGATCGTAAGGATAATTTTTTATTGTTAAATTTAATTAAAATCACATTAAATTAAAAAAATATATAATAAATAATTTTTGAAATAAATTTAACAATTAAAAATAAAAAGTGACCGATATTTTTTTTTGGTCCGGTTAGAGAAACTCCCAAACATCATGAGAAGAAAGCTTTTTTGTTTCCTAAAAAATCCCACTTTAAATCCTTTTTTACCTCCTGAGCCCCTGAGTAGTGGCGCCGGCGATTTTCTTTCACTCTTCTCTGTTTCCTTGCACTTTGGGTTCTCTTCCGCCGCAACTTCCTCTCTCTCTCTCTCTCTCTCTCCCTCGCTCGCTCTCCCTCTCCCTCTCTCTCTCCCTCCCTCCTTCTCCTGTAAGGTACTCTCTAGAATTTAGTGATTCTCTCTTCGCCGCCTAACCCTGTTCAAGGTAAACCCAAAACCCTGAACGGCCCAATCTTACTTCCTCGTTTAACTTCATATAAAAATTCCATCTTTATTCATAGTTTTGAATTTGTCTTTTTTTTGGTAGAGTTTTGATGGGGTCGTTAAAGAGAAAGTCGGACGAAAACCCATCTGGAGAAACTCCCCAGAAACAGTTTCACAGAGACAATGGTTTGTTGGGGAGACTTGACGATGAACCCGTCGCTTGCTTGCATGACGTTTCTTACCCAGATGGTTATATTCCTCCTCCTTCTTCATCTTCATCTGGTAAAGAAGGTTTGGAGCCTGCAAAAGTCTTCCCTTTCAGTCTCGATCCTTTTCAGTCTGAAGCCATCAAATGCCTTGGAGATGGAGAATCCGTCATGGTAGGTTTCTTGTCTTGTTGTTGTTCTTGTATTTGGTGATTCTTATAGATTCCCATTTGATTTTTTCTATGTTGTAGACTTGTAGTTTAAGGTTTTTAAAAGTTCACTTGAGTAATGAGTTTTTAACTATAGAATTCCTTGTTTAGAAATGAATGATTAACATGTCATTTATGCCTGCTAAATGGTTGGAGAGGTTTGTGTAATCTTTAAGTTCCAAACACCATTATCGCCAGGATAAATACCAGCAGGAAAAATATATTGAGAGTATAATTGGAGCTGAGATTCAGTTGGGAACATGGACGATTTGAAGTTCCACACTTGTTTTTTTGTCCCTAAAGAATAAAGGGTTGTAGAGATAGAAGGTAGCAAATCCCGCTAACTATGGAAAGACAGTTCATCACCGCGAGGCATTAAGATCTTGTATAATTGGAGCTGAGATTCAGTTGGGAACATGGACGATTTGAAGATCCATACTTATTTTTTTGTCCCTAAAGAATAAAGGGTTGTAGAGATAGAAGGTAGCAAATCCCGCTATGGAAAGACAGTTCATCACTGCGAGGCATTAAGATCTTGTATGACGTGAATTGTCCATATAACCCGTTTACCATGGCGGGACTAACTTGACTGCAGACCTTGTCGATGAGAACGAGCAGCCTTACTATATGGTTTTTAAGTTTTATACATTTCTTGGATACTGTGGTTTTTAAGTTTTATACATTGCTAGGAAAGTATTCATCAGGGTTACACTGAAGGGGTGTACGATTGATCGTTATATGGAGCACTTTCCAAAAATTGGATTGACTTTAGGAGTTTCTTTCCTTCTTTCTTTTTATTTTTTATTTTAAAATTACGTGCTTATGAATTTTTTTGGGTCAAATTTAGATAGTATTTGATGCCATGATGCATGAGTTAATTCTGGAAAGATATTCCAATCCGAATGATGTGTCTATTTATGGGTTTTCTCAGTTATTCATTTGTTTTCCATTGCTTCTCAAATATAAGATTTAGTAGTATGGACTCCCCAACATATTTACTATAGAGATTGTTTGTTCATTTCCCTTGTCTTTGTAAGTGACTCCATTTTTCTTTCTTATTAGGTGTCTGCCCATACATCAGCTGGAAAAACTGTTGTAGCCTCATATGCTATAGCTATGTCTTTGCGAAATAAACAACGGGTTATATACACTTCCCCAATCAAAGCACTCAGCAACCAAAAGTTTAGGGAGTTCAAAGAGGAATTTTCAGATGTTGGATTGATGACAGGGGATGTAACTATTGATCCCAACGCATCATGCTTGGTAGACCATTTTTGCTTTTATGTGTTTTTTTTTTTCCCCTTAAACAAAAAAAATCTTTGCGCCTTAGAGTACTTCTCATGGATGGTAATTTGCATTAATGTAGGTTATGACCACAGAGATTTGGCGTAGTATGCAATACAAAGGATCAGAGATAACACGAGAGGTGGCTTGGGTCATCTTTGACGAGGTACATTACATGCGTGATAGGGAAAGAGGTGTGGTATGGGAGGAGAGCATTGTTATGGCCCCAAAGAATTCTCGATTTGTGTTCCTCTCGGCAACTGTGCCCAATGCAAAGGAATTTGCTGATTGGGTTGCAAAGGTGATTCATTCCTCTGCGCTTTGACTGAATATCCCTATTTGTGCTCTATGTTAGATTCAGGAGAATTGTTTTGCATATAAACAGTAGGATTACCAAGAGCATCTACAAGAGGGAGTGATATGGTCCTCTATGATTGCGGTCATTTGAAAGGAATTAAATTGTTTCTTTTTTCTATGGAGTTTTCTCATTTATGTATCTAAACAATCTTTTAATGAAGCTATTGTAACTGATATTTGGTGGAATGCAGATTCACAGACAACCATGTCACATTGTTTATACAGATTATAGGCCAACACCTCTTCAGCATTATATTTTCCCTTCCAGAGGTGATGGTCTCTACTTGGTGGTGGATGAAAATGGAAAATTTCGTGAAGATAGCTTTCAGAAGGGTTTAAATGCGCTTGTTCCCGCTAGTGAGGGTGAGAGGAAAAAGGAGAATGGAAAGTGGCAGAAAGGCTTGGTAATGGGTCGGCTTGGTGAAGAAAGTGACATCTTTAAAATGGTTAAAATGATCATTCAGCGTCAGTATGATCCTGTCATACTCTTCAGTTTTAGCAAAAGGGAATGTGAAGCTCTTGCAATGCAGGTAAAGATTTCATTTTCGTTTCAGTTAAGTTTGTGTCCTGCTAATTCCAAAAAATTATCGGTTCTAGTTCTAAATCTGGATATCATTAGATTCCGTTCAATAGAAACAGATAAAAAGAAAGAAATTCTGGAATATCTATTTTTTATGATTGCATTTTATTGTTCTTAAGGTGATGTTGAGAGAAGCCTAGGACCATATTATTTTCATGTTTAAAATATACCGTCAGGATACCTGTGTAATGTTATGTTGGACGGAACTCTTATTTGTGTATTGTTACTATTGAAAAAAAACGTGTCACTGAATGTTCAGCTGGCAACTTATTTATCTGTATGTCACGATCCTTTAGTTTTTACCTGTAGGAAAGAATTCAATTGATTTTATACATTCTGTTTTTCTTTCTTTTTTATTGTAATAGATGGCAAAAATGGATCTAAATGGTGAGGATGAGAAAACGAACATAGAGACCATATTCTGGAGTGCTATGGATATGCTTTCCGATGACGATAAGAAGTTACCTCAGGCAAGTTTTCTTCCCCTTTCTTTTCTGTCACTAGCGCATGAGTGCTAAGAATATTTTTACATAGGTTTAGACAGGAGCTTGGCAACTTCCTGATTCAATTGTTTCCGAGTGTTTGAGACTTGGCTTGACAAGTGCTTACGTATGTGAATAAAGAAGCATTAGCTCATGAGAATTTAGTATATATCGGGATAACTACACTAGTTACATCTGATTCACTTGTTCTATACTAGTATTTTTTGTTACAATACATAAACTTTTTTTTTCCTTTTCTTTTGGTAAGAAACTGAAAATTTCATTTACTGAGAAAAAATAAAACATATAAAATGGAATCATTTCCGTGCTTAAGATATTCATAACTATTGGTTTATTTCTTATTTATTTTCTTGTTGTCATATATTTTGTTTGTTCACAGGTTTCACATATGTTACCTCTTCTGAAGCGTGGAATAGGAGTGCATCATTCTGGCTTGCTTCCTATTTTAAAAGAAGTAATTGAGATATTATTTCAAGAAGGGCTGATTAAGGTTGGTCCTAGATAGATTTATGTTCCATATTTTTACTTCATAGAACTTTTAGTATAAAATGGACTATTTTTCATTTTTAATTCTGGGTCTCAATCAGCATTTCATAAACCATGCGAGGTGATTGTACTGGGGATTTTATCTTTTTTCTGTCAGTTCAAGCCTTATATAGTTCTTTTTGTATGTTTGTTTAACCGCTGTAAGTATTGAAACATATTTTATTTTTAGTGTTTGTTTGCTACAGAGACATTTAGCATAGGGTTGAACATGCCTGCAAAGACCGTTGTGTTTACCAACGTCCGTAAGTTTGATGGAGATAAGTTCAGATGGATATCTAGTGGAGAGTATATACAGATGAGTGGCCGTGCGGGTCGTCGAGGTATTGATAAACGTGGAGTATGCATACTCATGGTGGATGAAAAGCTCGAACCATCTACGGCAAAGATGATGCTGAAAGGAAGTGCTGATTGTTTAAACAGGTATTTGAAGTTCTTTTGCTCTAGCTTGTTCATGGAAAATAAATCTACTGAAAATTTTCTCCGTGGATGGAATTTATTTGATCATTGAAAATCTATTGGGTTGTGGAACTGGGACCACCATACATAGCCTAATTCATTCGAATTGAGAGAGAGATGAATTATCAACTCTTTGTTTTTGCATAGTGAGAGGAACTAATGACTGACCAGTTATTGGCATTTGAAAACATGATGAAAATGCCTTTGTTTCCATTCCTTGGAATTGCTTTTTATTTACTCTTTACTCCCTTTTGTTCCAGTGCCTTCCACTTAAGCTACAACATGCTTTTGAATCAATTGCGCTGTGAAGATGGTGACCCAGAGAATTTGCTCCGCAATTCTTTCTATCAGTTTCAAGCAGACCGTGCACTTCCTGATCTTGAGGTTGGTCATAACAGAGGCGAGATGTGTTTGTGTTTATGTTCATGAAATCTACACTATGATTAAGAATGAAAGAAGCATTTGAAGACATAATTAGCTTGGTTAACGACTGCATTTACTTTCAAACAAGCATTGAATGTTGTTACAAAAAATTGTAGTTTTACTCCAATCAAGTAGGAGATCAAATAAACGACATTCAATATGTGTTTGTGTTCAAATTGTATGTTTCTTATAAAAAAGTGTAGTTTACTCTCTCTTTTTCTATTTTTTTCCCCGCTTGTTCTCAGGGTTTTTTTTTTTTTTTTTTTTTTTTTTTTCCATTTTTGTGATCTTTATGTAGATAGAAAAGAAATGAACACTCTTTTTATCAATGTCATTTGCAGAGACAAGTACAGGATTTGGAGCTAGAAAGGGATTCAATTATAATTGAGGAAGAAGATAGTTTGAAGAATTATTACAATCTGTTACAGCAATACGAGAGTTTGAAGAAGGATATTCACGATATTGTTTTTTCTCCGAAGTACTGCTTACCCTTTTTGCAATCTGGTAGGCTTGTTTCCATCAAGTGCACTAGGAGTGAGGAAATTTCCCAGTCATTCTCTATCAAGGACCAGGTCACATGGGGAGTGATAATAAATTTCCAAAAGGTGAAGACGGCCTCCGAAGGTGAGAACGCTCTCTCTTTCAGTTTAGTGACTTCTATGGTGTTTTTTTTTTTTTGTGCTTTTTAAGTTGTGAAGTATATGGGGCAGATGATGCAAGTAGAAAACCAGAAGATTCAAGCTACACGGTGGATGTTCTTACAAGATGTGTGGTGAACAGAGATAGAATTGCGAAGAGAACTGTTAAGATTGTGCCTTTAAAGGAGCCTGGGGAACATGTTGTTGTTTCTCTTTCTCTTTCTCAGGTGAAGTGTGTGATACTTTTTTTTTTTTTTCTTTTCAAACTTTGTGGCTTTCATTTCTTTTATTTACTTATTTAGATGTTCATTTTTAAAACAGATTAATAGTTTAAGCAGTCTTCGTGTGCATATACCAAATGATCTTTTGCCCCAAGAAGCTCGGGAGAACACAATGAAAAAGATTTCAGAAATCCTTTCAAGATTTGGTGAGAAGGGAATTCCTCTCCTGGATCCAGAAGATGAGATGAATGTATGCTGTTCTTTTTCCTCTTTTATTATTTTTATTTCCCGTCTGTCTTTTACCTCGTCTTGCATGGATCGGTACCCAACCTTAACTTTTTCTGTTTTACAGATTAAAAGCAGCTCATACCAAAAGGCAGCTCGTAGGATAGAGGCTTTGGAGAGCCTCTTTGACAAGCATGAAGTGGCAAAATCTCCTCTTATCGAGCAAAAGCTCAAAGCATTTCACATGAAACAAGAATTGACAGCAAAAATCAAGTCAATTAAGAAAACAATGCGTTCTTCTAGTGCATTGGCTTTTAAAGATGAACTTAAAGCAAGGAAACGAGTTCTTCGGAGGCTAAGGTAATTGAACTTCTCTGCACTGTCGTACATACATACAATGCATGCTTATGAACTCAGTTAATGTTTGCTAATATAATGTGCGTGGATGAATTTACTTGCAGATACGTTACGAGTGATGATGTTTTAGAGCTGAAGGGGAAGGTTGCTTGTGAAATTAGTAGTGCTGACGAGTTGACCCTTACCGAGCTAATGTTTAACGGTGTTCTAAAGGACATTAAGGTTGAAGAGATGGTATCTCTCCTGTCTTGTTTTGTGTGGCAGGAAAAACTTCAAGATGCAGCAAAGCCTAGAGAAGAACTTGACCTGCTTTTTGTACAATTACAAGATATAGCTCGCAGAGTTGCTAATGTTCAGCTTGAGTGCAAGGTACGGATAAAATCTTCTCTTAATGCTAAATGTTGTGCAGTTGGAATTTTTGCTTATTCAGGTTAAAATATAATCTCTACGTCGTTTTTTTTAACACACATTTCTGAATACTCTCTCTCTCATTCTCTGAATTTTGTACCGCATCACAGGTTCAAATTGACGTTGAGAGTTTTGCGACCTCATTTCGACCCGATATCATGGAGGCTGTATATGCTTGGGCAAAAGGTTCAAAATTTTATGAGATCATGTCAGTTACTCCGGTTTTCGAGGGTAGCTTGATCAGGGCAATTAGGAGACTGGAGGAAGTCCTTCAGCAGCTTATTGAAGCAGCTAAATCTATTGGAGAAACTGAGCTTGAAGCCAAATTTGAGGAGGCTGTTTCCAAGATCAAGAGGGACATTGTGTTTGCCGCTTCTTTATATTTGTAGTTCGCACCTGAAAACTTAAATATCTTTAGGACGACGCCTCTGGAGTTTAACAAGAAGGAAACATATTGGTAACTTACATCGTTAGTGGATAAAAAAACATTGGAGCATGCGGCGAAGATGATCGGAATCATTCATTCTTTAGCTTGGGAAGAATAAATTGCGGATTCGAAGACAAAATTTGTGTATAATCCTTTCGAGTGTCACTGGGCAATACCCATTTTGTCAGACTCGGCGGGTTGAGGAAGTTTTGTTTTCTAACTAGTGTTTTTTTTTTTTTTTCTATGGCTGGAGGCTGGACAGGCTTAAGCTTGTATCAACAAAATGACTGGTGTACTCGAATGCCTCACTTGTCGTGCCCGGTATGTGGGGTTGTAGTTTCATTCATTTATTATTATTATTTTTAGGAAAATTTTGAAGATTCTATTCTAGATTGAAAGCGGACTGCTTGGGAGGCTGTGGTAAATTTTTTTGTATTAGCACTAGGTGGTGCTATATGTCAGGTTGTGTAATATATTAATGCACCAGTTAAAAACTTGGGAGGCTGTGGTAAGAATAGGGTAATTTCAGGTTTTGTAGTAACACACACACATAAGTGGGAAGCTCGTGGAGGATGTAGACGGATGGGCAGACCATGGGCAGACCGTTGAAAACTTGGATGAAGGCAGTGAGGGAGAACATCTTAGTGGACGTTTGGTTCGTGAATTCAGAATCATTTTTGATTTACGTGTATTTTTTGTGAGAGAAATTACTGTAGCGAATTACGAATCATGATTCGAATCATAGTACGAATTTACTAACTAAACACAAGTATACTTGATGATATGTGGGAAGATCGCATTGCTTGGAGAAGCAGAATCTGTGTAGCCGGTCCTGATTGTATCGAGAATATGCTTTGATGATGATGAATATGGCACTCATACTTAGAGGGAATTTTTTTTTTTTTTTTTTTTTTTTGGGAACAATAGGATATTTTATTAACCAGCCAAATCGGTTAAACAAGCATTACCAACAAAAAGGGGAATAAAATCCACACCAACAATCTCAACATAGCCATAAAAAACTGAAGTTGCTAACAGGTGGGCAACTGTGTTCTTACCACATGGAATATGATTGCAAACAATACCACCATGAGTTTGTGTCATCGAAGTCTTGTGTATATTCAATAAATAGTGTTTGCAGCTTCCAGGGAATGATACGAATGAACAGCTTGCACAACATTAACAGCATCAGATTCCTCCACAACATCCCTTCCATTTTGTTTCAAAAACCTCCACATTACGAGACCACCAAGTCACGAACCGGACCAAACCTACATAATCCGTCAAACAAAAATGCGTAAATTAGGCCAGAGAGCACAGCGATTCCAAACCTCTTGTGCCCCATTGCAGCTCCATAAAGCATGCCATACCGTCTCCTCCGCATCCTGGCACCGTGGACAAGGACAACACTTGAGCCCTCTTTTAGTCAGATTACTGAAAACCGGAAGAATACCATGGAAAGCTTTCCACAGAAATATTTTAAATTTTTTTCCGGAATTGAGAGGTTCCATAGGCAAGACCACCAGCGAGCATCATCCCCCACCCCAGACGACGTATGATTCTTTTTGAAGTTCCAAAGCCAGCCAATATCCGGATTTAACCGAATAATTACCACTCTGATTAAAATGCCACACCAATCGATCCATGGGATTGCGGCTACCTAGAGGAATACCGGCGGTAACGCTTGAGTCGAGAGAGTCGGGATGTGAAACAAGTGGATTTGTTTAAAAGTGCTCATTATATTGAGGCATACCAGCAAGCACTCACACTCTCAAACCTTGTCCTCATAACCAACTATAATTCTTCATTTTACTATAAGTGGAAATAAAAGAAATACATGAATAAAAAAGGATAGACAAAAAAAAAAGTAAAATAAAAGATTTTGCCGAATGTCTTGGGTGCTCTCTCTAGAATCACATGGTTAAAAAAGAAAAAAATTCAGCAAGAAAAGTATTGTTGATTTTAGGATATATCATCACTGTAAAATCAACTCCAAGGAAACATGAAGAATAGAGAAGAAACGGCCGAAGTTTTTTTTTATTTTTTACTTTAACACAAATAAAAACAAAACAAAACAACACAAAAATTATTGTTAGAACGTCTGAACAGGGATTGTTTCTTTTGTTTTTGAAAATTAAAATGGATTATTTCATATACACGCATATAATAAGAAAGTATAAACAATAACATTACTACTCTCAAAAAACAACATTACATTTTGCATCCCAGAGCCTAAATATATATATATATAATACTTTTCCTGGTTGTCACGACGTATAATTACAGACCTCTTATGCTTCAAATAGACTCCTTATAACACATTATTCCCTTATTTATGTTAAAAAAGGGCAGTCTAAATTCTAGACACCTTGAATTTTGAGGCCAAAAATAAAATAAAATAGAACTTCACTTAACTTCTTTGATGAGGTAACAAGGAATGAAGCAGCGAATAAGGTGGATGCCAAAATCAAGAACACAACCAAAAAGGCCACCAGATCTCTCAGTTTTAGCATTGCGTGTCGAAACCGGAATTCCATACACTGGATCCGGCACCATGTACTGCTGGTAAGATGAATTACTGATCTCATCATCAGGCATTGCTGCATAGTCAAACTCCGGGGCTGCAGGCTGCACCACTTGTGCAGCCAAAATGGCTTCTTCTTCAGACGTGATCCACAAGGACTGCGGCAGTGGCGGGGCTGAGGGCTCGGCTCGGGAGCATGAGCAGCAGGAGTGGTGATTAATTTGAGGCAGCGGCGGAGGTGGTGGCGGCCTGGAAGGAGGAGGAGGAGGAGGATAGTAGGGAAGGTAGTTATAGGCCTTTTTCTTTCTCTTCTTTCTGGACCAGATCTTGAGCCTTTTCATGGCTTTGATCATTGGGTATGTTGTGAAAGACGAGAAGAAATTGTGTTTTTTTTTTTTTTTTTTGGATTGTTGGTGAGACTGCGAGTTATAGAGATTTTGTAGGGATGGGAAAGTTGCTTATGATGATAAAGGCATTGGAAATGGCATCTTTGGAAAAACAAAAAAACAAAAACAAAAGGTGGGGTTTCTGGTTTGTCAATGGCTTTGCATTCTTTTGGCCCTTTTTTTTTTTTTTTTTTTTTTTCAATTTTCAAATCTTGTAACCGTTGGGAACCCACTAGAAAAGCAGTCCTACTTAAAAAGGATACAGATCTGAGATTTGAGTAGACCACCGACCCTTCTATTCATTGTCAACAAACAGTAACGCATGAATAAACGCTTGGCTATCAAACACAAAAGGAAAAACAAAGCACAACGTGTCACACATTATAATTGTTACACACTTTCTTTCAAGGGAAAATTCAGGAACATCTAGGGGTATTACAAACCTGTTATTTGCCTCAAACTTCCTTGCCAAAAGCAAACTAGTCCCTCTAAGTAGCTTGCTGTTGTTAATCGCTCCGGCAATAAAATTAAGATCCCGTTCATTTTACCGATTCGAGTTTAGAATTCAAGTTTTATTATAATAAAAAATTCTCAAAAATAATCACATCTAATTTTTTTATTACAGTAAAAAATTTTCACATATAGTCACATCTCAACTCGAATTAAAAACTCAAATCAACAAAGAGACCCTAAGAAAGAACTCTCAATTTGTCCATCCTTACTACCTCGACTTGGGAGCATCGTCTCTGGCGAGGTAGCTATGAGCGTTGCCTCCAGCAAGGGGATCCCACCAATCAACTTCCTTGCACCTGTTTACTCATCCATTGACTTGAACACATGTCAGACTCCTTGAGCCGTGTTTCGACATGGGCCAAATGTTAGGCCTAACATTATTCTTTCCAAAAATAACGATCTTCCACCATTTCAAAGTTTGCACGGAAAGTTTTCTTTTTTCCTTTTTTTTTTTAAATGGAAAGTTTGCATGTTAAGTTGTAAGCAAGAGCAGTTTTCTAACCTGCTGAAAAAAAAAAACAAAAACAAAAACAAAACTCTAACCAACAATACAAAAGCATATAAGCACTCGTTAAGCAAGAATCACAAATAATTGGTTACATACTTCTTGTCACGACATCAAAATATCTCATTCCCAAAAGAAAGTTCAGACTATATATTTATGTACAAATGGAATGTGACGAGTCTTGATCTCAAAGTGGGGAAAAAAAAAAGAACAAAAAACATATATATGAAAAGAAAGAGCTTATGCTCCCACTGTCTGTTTTCATGACACAGTCACAGCGTCAAAGAACTTTGCCCCCCAACCATTGGAAGTCTAGGCAGATAAGCATTAGGAAATTCTCTTTGGTAAAACTACACCATAAAACAATATAACCAAAAACACCCAAATCCCTAATATGAAGGAAAACTCACTCTCCAAATGGCAGTGCCCATTAGAGATCCGCACCTCCATCTCCGAATGTCAGGAAACTGCTTGGGCGATTCCAGCATTGGAATATATTGGTTGTAAGTAGTGGCATCTGTGTAGGAACCTATAGACAGAATCTTAGAAGCGACGCTTAATCAATCGATCCACTTCGTTTTGCTTTTCCTTACATTTCTTTGTTTTTAACGTTCACCTCACAAGAAGGCGCATTGCACATCAACACCCAGGCCCCACAATAGATGATTGATCCTCGGGGTTGACTGCAACCTCACAATCCAGCTTTCCTGGTTTGGCTTCTTCATTGACTGGAAGCTTTATCTTGGGAGACAACATCTTAACTTCCTCCGTTGTATATATGAAAATCTTCCTTACCATATTGCAGAACTCACTGCAGCAGAAGACAAGGTTCAACAGGATGCTCAGGGACAATAATGATGTGCAATTGCACACACTAGTTGGAAATAAGGACATAATCCTACAGAAAGGGAACTCTATGCTAATACAACAATTATACACGAAGGAAGATTCTAAAACTTGGTGCACTTTTTTTTTCTCTTAGTCGTGAACAGAAATCTGAAAAATGATGATTCTTTTGAGATCTGCCAGTATTAGAGGACTCGAATAATAGCACCATGTGTCATTTTACTTTACATGTTTAATTCACTTGGCAGAAAACGAACCCAAAGAGAAATTAAATCCCTTTTAAATAACCACACCTTCATTGACCATCTTAAGAAGATATTAATTTCAAGGTGAAACCCCCTTATGAACTATGTTCGAAACGAGCTACAACTTCGTGCATTTAAATAACATGGTCAAATGAAACTTACTTCCACGGGTCATCCCCAACCATCATCACGTCATCCTCATCGTCAGTGTAGACAACCTGCCACTTCTTGGTAGATCCACAAAGCTCACCCTTAATGTCAAACATCTCCTCCAGTTTCCTGAGCAGATCCCCATACCTATCAAATCTTGTCAAATCTACAGCTCTACCAACTGCCATCCCTTGCATGTGTACCTATAAAAGAAATATGTTCTATGAGATAGTCCAAACATTGAGCAGAAGCAGCTGCCTTTCAGAAAGAAGCAGAGATAGAAGTAACAACAAAGCAGCATTGTTTTTTATTCATAGAATAGAAACCTCATATATGCACAGGTGTCAGAATACAACAAATATTCCATGAATATGGCATCCATATCTGTCCTCGGATTTTGTGGAATTACAGGCCTCGCTGAAGCACAGAAACTCTAAAATTATAAGAGTCAAATAATGAAGGAGTCGAATAATCAAGGCCTACCTTTGTGCAACTCCTGATTTGCCTACTTTGCAACTCCTGAGGAGATCTCAGACTCGATTTTTCTGCATCGCAACTCACAGAAGGATGATCTGTTCGATTAATATTTGATGGCTCAGAGTGCTGATCAGATTCAGCATCCAAAGACAGAACTGGTTGGATGTCCCCCATAGTTCCAGACACTGCAACCACAGGTGAAGTGCCTTCTAAATTGGAATTGCCAACTAGCTGAATACCAAACAGCCTGCAGGCATTCCCATTGCTCTGCCTTCTGTCTCCAAACTCTTTATTAATATAAGGTGAGAAAGACTCTGTTGCAGCTTCAACTCGATTGGACCAGTACATTGTGTTGCTGGAAATGTTCCCATTAAAAACAAGCGGATTGGGTTTTGATGCAGTGTTAAACTTGGGTGATGGATAGGGTTCTTGTCCACGCTGTGGGTCACAATATGAGAGAGTTGAAGGAGACTCCAATGGAGATTTCCATGTACCAAGTACAGAAATATCTGAAGAAGGTGATGGTAAAACAGAAGGCCTTGCCCGCTTATTCCTTGGCGTAGGTTGAGAATTTGGGGGAGGAGTTGCCACAAGTGGTTCCAATTCCCATGGAGATACTCTATCAGGTCGCAATATTGATGACGGTTCATCCCATTGAACCTGAAGATAATGATATAAATTATTATTAATAAATGGACAACATGATAAACTAAAATGTAAACTATGTTATAGGGTACACCTTGTTCTCTGGGGACATATCATTTTTTATTCTAAATAAATTATTTTCTCATCAAAATAAATATACTTTTGGACGGTGACAGAAAAGCAATCTCAAGGAATCTGAACTTCCAAAGGAAATACTGCAGGAAAAAACCACTGTGGTCATATTATAACCAGTGCAAGCCAAAATCCAGAACGTTCGCAGGCAGACTCTGAAGCTTTTTTTTTTTTTGAACTGGGGTTGCGGGAAATAGAACTCTCAATATGCCATCATTTACAACCTTTATTGTGTTAATTATCATGGCATATTGATAAATTTTCTTTAATTTTATGATCCTTTTCATTCGAGGCTTAGGCCTCAATTAGACAACATGCCTCAATTCCTGATTAAGCCTTTTTAAACCTTGAATCCAACCATATAAACAAAAGAAAACTCAATCATTCTAATGCTTCAAAATCCATTCAAAAGACAAAGGATAAAGTGGCATGATTTGAGAAAGATCAGCCCATATTACAATGCTTTTCTTGGACAAGATCGGAATACCAAATAAGAGAATATTGAACAAAGATGTAAACCTTTAAGGATCGCCACTCAGAATTTGGCCATCCAAATGATGCGTTGTCTCCCACACCAACAATTGTACCACTGAACCTGTAGTATAAAGAATCAAATATGTGAGGATACATAATAACTTCTTTCTGACTTTAGAGTATAAGTCGCATAATTCACCTTCTCTCAGGAACTTCCTCACCCTCAAATCTCATCTTAAACCTCATTCCAACTGACAGTTTGTGACTGCGAGCTTCAAGGTACTTGTTAACACTTACAAGAAACTCAGACCGACTTGTCCTGGGAAAAGATGAAGCACGTTCAGAAAAAATATGGTGGCAAAAGCCTAATCCCAAAGAACATGAAACAAAAAAAAACAAAGATTCAACAATACGGAGTAGGCTATCCAGATATTTTTTGGGCCTTTACTGAAGCAGAAAATACAAGACCTTGGCTTGTAGAAGACAGAGAAGAGTGTTCCGGTAGAGATGGCATGAGATGCAGTGGCTAGAACTCCAAGATGCATGCTGTGACTAGAAATAACAGAAGATGGCATGTTGCTTGGTTGTCTCATGAGTCTCCTAACTCCAACACGCAGCTCTCCGTTTTCACCTCTGGAAACGACAAGTAGTAAGTAAACACAACAGAAAGCATCTAACATAATAACAATTATCCATGTCTTGCGCACAAGAGCTTGTCTTGAGCAAAAAGAACTTGCCTCAAAAATATAAATGCATCACCAGCTACTAATTTTTTGGAACTGACAAAAACACTCCAGCCAGTTGTGAGTAAGTGACGTCTAGGTTGCCCTGCAGTCAGTTCCAAGATCAACATAACAGAAATAGAGGAACTTACTATCATCATAATAGGACACTAGAAAAGTCAAAGGCATTACAACAATAAAAACTCATTGAAGCATGACAATAGAAAAAATACAAAATGCCACCATGCAGAGATGCCAGGCCATTGAACTTCTTGGGAAAAAAAGAAAAAAAATAACAGGCACGTTAACTTGACCTACATATATAATTCACTGAAGCCTCCCAACTTTCCATCACCACATAGTGTTCAAACAATTCCTTGAAAAATAAAATGAAAGATGCTAGTGCAAATTGTGACTTGACATCCAGCAATGAAAATGAACCAAACAAAGGTACAAAAGGTTACTTACACCACAAGCTACAAATAGTTAGCGTATAACATAATGACAGGGTGACCCAGAATTTTGGACTAATTCACTCGAAGTCAAACGATACTCAGTACACAAGTCAATGAAGAATACTCGACCTCGAAATATATGACGAAAATGCCATTCATTTCCATGCAAATCAGTTGCAACCAATTCCTGCCATGGGGGCTGCTGCGACATATCCTGAAAAGAAAATCAAAATTGTATGTCATGCTGTTTAAAAGAAACTATACTCCAATGTCCAAAGGAACTCTCAATAGGGGCAAGGGAGGTACATAAATAGAATAATATATTTACAAAATATAAAACACAGCATAACAAACAAGGAGACAAATAGCTAAAACTGTAGAGCTACCAGTGGTGGCAGACAATCATCCGCATGCCTCCTGAGGACAGAGAATCCGCCATGGGTGCTTGTATCAGAAGCAGTCAGTGTCTTGCAAAATGAATGCACAGTGCACCTTGCAGGTTCTGGAAGTGGAGGATCAGGGCTAGTAACCTCGCTTTGCTGATCCAAGAATATGAATACGCGTAAATCAAGTATGATTAAAAGGTAGAAAATAAAGACAAAAAGATTACATGTGTTTGCTTTGCAAACAAATATGACTAAATACTATGCAAACCACAACGTAATAATTATAGTTAATGTAAACAAACAAATAGATAAATGAATTCAAAATTGGCTCCAAACTCATAGAGCTAAAAAGGCATGAAGGAAAAGAAAGGCTCACATCTTGTTCTGGTAATAGAGCAATTTGTGCGTAAACTTCATCTGTTTCCATTTCAGCCTGCACTCCAAGTTAAAAGTAAAACTAAGTAATGCTCGCATCAAAACAAGCCATCCACTTAAAAAGATTAATCACGGAAGTGCGTAATGCATGGAAAAAATTACCCGAAGCTGAACATTAAAAACTTTACAAAGAATTTTAGATGGGAGATTAAATGAAGGCATTTGCTGCTCTTGCCCCTGATGCATAGATGCTTCTAGCTGTATACACAAAAATATATATGTGACGTAAAGGATACTAGGAGAGTAAATGAAACAGAACATAAACAACCAACAACAAGAGTAAATCTTCAGATCTGAAATAAATCCATCATTTTTTTTTAGATATAGGCTTTGCCAATATTTTCTAAATTCAAGACTACAATACGAATCTTATTGACTGGTTTATGGTCATAAGTTATAATGCTTTTATAGCAATTGTAATAAATATAATTAGAAAGAACACATAGATACAAATTGTTTTGTAGTCTCTACAAGTAAAACTAGAATAGAATATATCAAAACAGAGCGCAAAAGTACACAATTCAAAGCTTCACACAGATGAGACGGGAGAGGGAGAGGGAGAGATAGTTAATTAAAGCTTAACGTACCTGCTCCATATGACCCTGCGGAAAGTAATACACTCGCTCTCGTTCACGTGGAAGGGTGACAAGTGGTCCAGCACATGCATGCCACAATTCCTTGTATAAAGCATCACTACAGGCCCCTGTGATGAAAATTATGGAGTTATACTAGAGGAAGAGAATCAACGTAAAAGCAACAACAGCAGCCTCTAAGCCCATGAGATACCATATATAATAAGCGTTGACTTCGAGCAGCAGTGCATATCTTCAACATTAGATGTAATAAGAAAATGAAATTTGAATACCACAATAGTACGGATCAAAGAATACCACTAAAGCGGACATAACTTATGGCATATCACTATATTCGGCTACCATACTAACATATTCACATGATCACTTGCCACTGGAAGTTACCAAAGAACATTAACTTTTCTAAATAATTAGTTCATCTGTGTGAGAATTGAGAGCTCAAACAAAAAATTGAGTCGGGGTAACAAGTGCCAGCATAGTTTGAGCTTGTTTATAGTATTCAATTCATTCACTTCCAAAAAGCAAAAAGTTAAAATCAATTAATACTTTTACAGCAAGATAGAGTAGCCTAAAGACAGAAATTCCAGCATCCAGTTATCTGAACCTTCACTAAACGTGTCTTCCTACGTAAACAAGTATGAGCTTGTTCATTTCAAACACACAAAGCTATGATTCCATTACTTTCTCTAGCAAGTAAAGGTAAATTTGGTCCAGAAGAGTCCAAGCACCTTTTTTTTTTTTTCTTTTTTTTTTTTTTGCAGCATAGATTCAAACTGCAGGGTGTAGATCAACTTTTTGTTTTTTTTTTTTTTTTTTTTTTTTTTTCGCCAAAATTTTAAAATGCAGGGGGTAAATAAACTTTTGGTTTTTTTTTTTTTTTTTTTTTTTTTTTGCAGCATAGATTCAAACTGCAGTGTGTAGATCAACTTTTGGTTTTTTCTTTTTTTTTTTTTTTTTTTTATAACAGTGATGACCGTGTCTAATTATTCATGAGTACATACAGGTATTAAACCAAACGAAATTCAGTTTCCCCTGAAACAGAACTCTCCTGAACCACAATCTAAATAAAGAATATCAAAGAGCAATTTTTTGCTCTAAATCAAGACGGTCAGGGTGGCATGACCGAAAATAATCCCACTGTAACCAAACTGTGCAAGTATTCCCAAATCTAACATACATCTATACAGCATTTTCTAGAGCCACAGAGGATTTACTTTCCTAAATTTCAAAAGAACAGCGTTGTATACAGAATTTTCTTCGACAGTAACGCATCATCAACAAAATTAAAGATTTGAAAACTCTATGGAATATGCAATTTTAACATCTTCGCTTAACAAACATCATAAATTCACAAAATCAGTTTTATTAATTTCCACCTTATATTGTTCAGCAAACAAAAGCATTATGAAAACCCCAACAAAAGGACAGACTAAAACCTGGAGGGGCTCCTTTGGAGAGATGATTGGTAGCCGAGAAAGCCATAGCGAAACAGACCAGGCAAAATCTTCACCAAGCGCTCAACTCTGTTCCATCACCATATGGAAAGTGAATGTTAAAACAAGTTGTTTACATTAAAGCAGAATCTAACAAGTAACCAATTAATTATCCCACCAAACTAGACCAAACCCATTAACCAAAACCCAGTCAAATGTGTAACCCATAATCAATGCAAAAACAATGGCCTCAGAATCTGATAGCTAAAACCATCTCTAGTCACTTTTGTGTCAGTGCAGTCTGTTTTGTGCCTTAAATGCGAGTTAAAACAAATCAAAAAGTTTTTGCCTTTTGCTTTTGGAGCTCTAACGCCAATCCATGAACAATAAAGCACAAACTTTTTTTGCCCAAAAGTAAATAAGCTCTTCTTTTTCTTTTTCTTCTTCTTTTTCTTTTAATTTAGAGAGAGAAGTAATTCTAAAGAGGAAAAAAAATCACATTTGACATTTCGCTAAGATTTTGATCTACAAATGATCCGAAACATACTGATTGAATTGAAGCTAAAATTGAACAGAAAATAAAGGGAAAATCCCCAACCAAATGAACGCAAACTCTTCTCTATTCTCCGGATCCCATGAACTAGCAGAAAAACCTATATTCCCCCCATTCTAGGAAAAAAAACGCATTCTATTTTCTCAGCAACCAAACACCACCGGATCGCAAAGATTCCAATCATTACCGTACGGTACATACCCAAAACACGCACAGAAAATCCATAAACAGCGAAAACAAGAAGGAAATCTAAGAAGAGAAAGCAGTATTGTTCAAAGTTGAGCAATTATCATCACCATTACCGAAGAAAACCGAAGCTGGACTCCACTGACTAGCTCTGAAGAGAGAGAGAGGGAGGAGAGAGAAAGCTGGGAATCGGAGAAATGGATTTGCCGCGAGAGAGATCGAGAATCGAATGGGTTTTTGGTTTATTGGTTTTTGGTGGGTATGGGGTTGGGGATCCGACGACGACGATGATAAGGTCGTGTTTGTTTGAAGCCGACACGACCTCTTTTTCTGCCTTCTTTTTTTGTTTTCTTTTTTTGTTTTTGTTTTTTCACAAACACACGCTCGCTCTCTCTTTCTCTCTCTACTAAGTAGTTCTGTATTTTGGATTATTTATTTATTTATTTATTTATTTAATCAAAAAATAAATTCTTTTTGTCTGTGTCAATTGGGGATAGACTTGCGACTTGGACCGGCAATTTCTTTTCCGACACAGAGGAAAGATAATAAAAGATAATTAATGTTTGCCTACCAAGCACTAATTTCTACTTATTTTATTTTATTATTATTGTTATTATTATTACGATATCTCTATCTCTATTATTGCAAAAGTCACATTTTTTTTTGTCACCGTTGATTTTTAGCCTACCATAAGATCGCACATATACGTAACATTTTCATTTTTTTAACTTGATGAATAAGGTGCGTTGTTTTTAACTTGCACACATATAAATTACATTGTTAAAATTTAATCAAATAACTAAAAAAAAATTACTCTGTTAGAGGGTAAATAAGGTGTCTTACCGTGTTTCACAAAAAAAAAAATCAATAAGATTAATGTATAAAAACCATGAAAAATTTTGGCAGGATGAGAGAAAAAAATACCATATCAATAAAATACAGTCTTTAACCGTTAAATTTTCATCAAATTTTATTAAGCCTCATTCATTTCACCGATTCGAGTTTTGCTACAGTAAAAAGCTCTTAAAAACAGTCACATCTAACTTTTTTACTACAGTAAAAAACTCTCACATAAAATCACATCTCAACTCGAATTAAAAACTTGAATCAACGAACTAAACGAGCCCTTAAACTATCATAATTTATTATTTTAATTTAATATGGTGGTTAAAATTTAGAGACTTTCTATGATGTTTCTTCTTTTTTGAGAATACCGGTGTTTCTTATTTATTGATTGTCAAATCTGTATTAAATATGGTTAAAAGTTAAATTAAATTAAAAAAATAATACAAATTCAATGACTGATATGATAAGCATGAAACATCAATATTCATAAAAATTAGAATAATTATGTATAATTCAACAAAAATCTTCAAATATCTATTAAAAAGAGAGAGAGAGAAAGTCAAAAAAACAGTCCAATGGGTATCCTGAAATCCCTACAAGTTTCTCTTTCTGTCCCAAATTCCACGCGCAAAAAATCCTCTCCCTAATTCTTACATTATAAAAATTAGAATAAGGAATCATTAATTACTTTAATTAATCCCTTCTCTCTCTTTTGGGGGCTGTCCAATGTCTCACTGGCTCGTGTTTTGTCTTTAATTATTGTTTATCATTAAATTAAAGATTATAGATAAGATCGCAATAATTACATTTAAAATTTAAGACCTGTTTAGTTCACTGATTCGAGTTTTTAATTTGAGTTGAGATGTGATTTTATATAAGTTTTTTACTGTAGTAAAAAAGTTAAATGTGACTGTTTTTAAAAAAAATTTAGTATAATAAAATTTGAATTCTAAACTCGAATCGATAAAATAAACGAAATCTTATTGTGAAATTACTGCTTTGTCCTGTCCTTTTCTTTTCCTCAAAGGTCTACATAGCTAAACCTCAAAATGGGTCTTGGGGGGTTACCCTACACATTCTGGGCATGCGGGTTGCGTTCCGTGGGGCCCACAATTTTTTGTTTCCGTCCGTTTAAACTTTGCAACTTTGGACTTTCCTCTTTCTTTTTTCAATAATTCAGGACTTTTTAGGGAATGGAGGGAAGCAAAGCTGCCAAATTTGGAAAAGTCTTTAAAAAGAAAATAATAAGATATTATTTCAGATGTAAAAAGAAAAATTGGAAAATTAAGGATAAGAAGTCTATTTAATAGGAGGGATGGATTGGAATAATGATAGATAAGATATAAGGAAAGAAAAGTGAGAAGAAAGGGAATGATTCAGAATTTCTTTAAAATTATTTGGTATGATTGGAAGGAAAGATTGTAATTGCCAATTCTCTTATTTGGTATTAGAAAGAAGAGCACTTTACAGGAACACTATAAGTTTTAAATTTGATTGATATATACCAACAAATATAAACTATTACAAAAAATGTCACAGTTAAAGATACTTAAAAATCATAAAATTTATAAAAATTACAGCTATAAACATGAAAAATTACAGAACTCTTACAAAATCTAAAGACACTGAATGAAATACATAAAAGTACAAATATAATTTTGCTTAGTATAAAAAACTTAAATGATGTCATTGTGGTATATTTTTTAATAGTTTTAATACATAGAGCAAAAGTCAATCCAACTTTAAAAACTATGGCATATTGCTTAAATATCTCTAAGAAAGAATAGGGACCAATTTCATTTTCTTGATAAAATTACGAGTTTCTTTACACCTTTAAAAGCATTGAAGGGCACTTTCGGTTTCGTTTTTTTTCACTTTCTTCCCCCTTTTTTTTTTGTTTTTGGATCCCCTTCTTCTATTATTTGCTTCTTTAATTCCTAATTTTTATGTGTCCTCTCACCCTTATTTAGTTTTATTATCATTTTAATTCACCATTTTTTTCATTTTCTTTCTTTTTATTTGGTCCTCTGTCCTTTTTAGGGCCCATTCCTTTATGCTCTGCTTCTTTAGTAAATTTTTATTGTCCCTCTCACCTTTATTTAATCTTTTTTTTTTGTCCACTTATTTTTCAAGTTCCTTTTTTTTATTGCTTTTTTCCTTCTCTTAATACAAATATAGAACTTAATCAAAACTTAATACAAGGATAGAACTTATAAAACTACACTCACGTGTATAACACGTGTACTTTTTCCCTAATGGTCGTGTTGAAATAATTCATTCTTATATATGTCCCTACCTAAATTTTTTTTGAATGAAATCATGCCAAATACATTTTTCTTTGTATGTACACAATAAATAATTTTCAATGTATAGATAAAAAACAATCCGTTTTCAACGAATCCCCCTCCCTCTTTTTTCCTTACTTTTCATTTTTTTAATTTTTTGCCCTCCCTTCTTTTTCATTTATATTCTTTAGTCCTTTATTCTTTTCATCCACATTTTTCTACTACTTTTTTTTGTTGCTTTTCAAATGGGTTACACTTTTTTCCTAATCTACTCTTGTTAAAATAAATTTTCTCAAATGTGCAAATGCCGAATTTTCCTTTTCTTGAAGTCATTTTTGTCATGTTATACAACATTTTCAAATAAATTTTCTATGTTATATCATAAATAATTTATTATCTAACTTTGCTCTTTGTAATTTATAAATATGTACTAAATAATTTTTTGTTTACTAAACTCAACTATTAAAAGAATAATGAATATGTACAATTAAATTTTAGAAGGAATGTAGGATTTTTCATATCTAAAAGATGTAAAAAAATGCACGCGTGTACTAATAACTAGTAGCTAGTAAAAATATTTAAATTTACTTTTTTTTGACTTTTTAAATATTAATTTGATTTTTTAAATCAACAGATTGTGTGTGTATATATATATATATATATATACAGGCATATATAAGAGTTCGTTTAATTTACTGATTCAAGTTTTTAATTTGAGTTGAGATGTGATTTTTATGTGAGAATTTTGTACTGTAGTAAAAAAGTTAGATATGATTGTTTCTAAAAATTTTTTATTATAATAAAACTCAAATCAGTGAAATTAACGATGCATAAATGTGTGCATACACATACGTTCTTTATATAATGCATATAACGTAATTACTTTTACTTTTATCTGATACTAGTAAAGAGGGGTACGTGCAAAAGCACGAGCATTATTCTTAAATTATATGCTGTACATAAGTTGTAGTGTTTTTTTTTTGTATTTATTTTTATTATTATTCAATATAAGTTGTAGTGTTGTACTATATATGTGGTCTACGTACAATTAAAAAAAATTTAAATGGGAAGTTCAAAAAAAAAAGACTAGAGTCTAAATTATTTTTGATTTATGTATAACATTTATATATAATATTAAAGTCACGTAAATAATTATAAAATTTTTAATGATATTCATTAAGTATATAATAATATGTATATAAAATAATAAATTTTTTATTTTGTTAACTAAATAACATTTTTTTTATTACATTATGAGGATGTTTGGTGGAGGGATTTGTTCCCTGATTCGAATCATGATTCATGATTCGCTACAGTATTTTTTCTCACAAAAAATTTACATAAATAAAAAATGATTTGAATCACATAATTTGAATCATCCAACCAAACGTTCTCTGTATATTTTTAAGACACCATTTAACACGCGTTGCTGCCATGGGAGTGAGTATTACGATAGGTGCTCTTAAAGCGTCGTACTTCCACTTGAATAAATTGTTAGAATTAGGTGCCTATAAAACGTAAGGATATAATCATTTTTAGACATCATTATAAATAAAATCACGTGACAGCAAACAGTTAACAAAAAGATTACAAAATAATTTAAAAGTTGGGGACGAACAAATGGTGCATATTAAAATTTAGAGAGCATGTTGTAATGGTATTAAGAATTTGAGAAAAATATGTATTTTTTATTTCTTCTTTCTTATACCTTTAAATTTGTCCGTTACAAGGGTCTCTTTCGAGTTGATAACTAGATTGGTGCAATGATAAGAATGTATGCTAATTGATGTGTTAATTATAAATTTAACATTTGAATGTAAAAAATACTCTCTAATGTAATGCTATTTATTGTGTTAAATTTTCTACATGCTATATTTTGTCACAAATTTCATACTAAATATAACATATGAGAAATTTGACATTTTATTGTTATTAGTTGAAATGTTTATTTTTTCACGTAATCATTACAACTTTTGTATTTTCTAATTATTTTAAAATAAAAATTTACTTTTACAATTTTCAAAACTTAATTATTATGAGAAAAAGTATATTTGGTATTGTAAATAACATTATATATTTAAGTAAAAATAAAAATAACATATCATATTATACTTTTTTATGCTAAATATACAATTTAACATTAGTATTTTTATTAGATATGGTCTTGCTTCACGGCCTCACTTTTAAGACCTCTATTTACCAATGCGTCATGCAACAATGATTCTCTTCTTTCATGTGAGTGATCTTATATACTCGTGTTAAGTTCAACTCAGTTCAAATAGTAAGCACAGTTTAAATTCGTGTTTGGTAAGTTCGCATTCTGAATTTGGATGTGCGATGATTTTCAAAATGATATTGGAAGATGAAGGGCGAGATAACATTAATGAGTAAATGACTACAAAAATCAAGTAAATGGCTGTTTTTTACCATTTTTTTTAAATGACCAAACTTTTTATTTTTTAAACAAATGCTAAACTTTTTTTTTTAAAAAGCAAAATGACTTTTGTTTTTCACCAGTCAATCAGTGATTTAAATATTTATTATTATAATTTATCATCAATAAACATGTAATTTGTCAATTGAAATTGATTAATTACTAATTAATTTTAGTTAAATAGTAATTAATATAGATTAATAATAAAAATTCATCGAGTTAATTGGTGATAAACTTAAGTCAATCAGTCATTGACTGCTAAGTCAATTAGAGCCCTTTTGGAATGTATACTCAAACTATGATTATTGATTCTGATATTTGAAATTCAAAATTTTTGTTAAAAGAAAATATTGTAGCAAAATAAATGATTTGAGTTTGAGTACATGAAACAAATAGACCTATAATGATAGACTAATCAATCGGTGATTAATTACTAAGTTATTAGTGATTCACCACTAAATTAATAAAAGAAATGACCATTTTGTTAACTTTACAAAACTTAACTTCCGTTTGTTTTATTGGTTTAATTAAGTTCAACTCAGTTCGAACAGTGAGCACAGTTTAAACTCGTGTTTGGTAAGCTCGCATTCCGAATTATATTATCCGTTTGAACTAAGTTAAACTGTCCAACAAAGTTTAGCTCTCCCTTAAGTTCAAACATTCAAACAATTTTTGAACAGTACAAAAGTGCCCGTTATCTATGTTTTTCACACCTATTAAACACAAATTCGAATTTTATTTCCTGTTCAAATTAAAATTTTAACTGCACATCTAAATATTAATTTAAACTACACATTTTAAATTTTTCTGTTCAAACAAAAAAGTTAAAATCAATAAAATTCAAACCAACGAACTGAAAAAGGCTTAGTTATTTTTTAAAGAATCCTTAAAAAAAGCCTTATATGTTATTATGTCTTTTTAGTAGAGGAAAAAAATTGTTTCAAAAATCTCGTTCATTTAACCGATTTGAGTTTTCAGTTTTAATTTTATCACAATAAATTTTTTTATAAAAAGTTACATTTAATTTTTTCACTACAATTAAAAATTATCATACAACTCAAATTAAAAATTAAAATCGACGAACTAAACAGAGCCGAAGACTATAACGAGATTACGAGAGGTAATTCCCTATGCTTTTATTTTGGAACAAGAACTGAGAAATATCAAAAACTGGCGCCCACGCTTTCAAATTAAGCACAGAGTAAGAGAGAGAGGACAGAGAAAGAAGAGAGAGAAAGAGCTGAACTCCAACATCATTGGCATTCAGTCACCGGACAAGATGCTGATCAGGACTCCGCCGCCAAAGAGACCTCGAGCCGCCGCCATGGAGACCGGAGCTACCGGCAGCCCTCCGCCGGCGGCCGGCTCCGACCGAACTCTCGTTATCTACGAGGATCCTCTCTCCGCCACCCCTCCGCCGGCGGCCGGCTCCGACCGAACTCTCGTTATCTACGAGGATCCTCCCTCCGCCACCCCTCCGCAGCTCGACTCCTCCTCCTCTCACCAGATGCTCTGCACCTACCAGTGTCGCCAATTGGTTTCTGCATTTCTCTTCTCTTCTTCTCTTTTATCGATCGATCGATTAATTTCATTATGATTCTTCAATTCTAAGTCTGTTTCCCTTTCCGATTCTTTAGGTCAAAGCGGATTTTCTGGTCGCCTTGAGCAGCGCGGAGAAGGAGGCTCGCGATTGTCAGTCCAGTTTGGAGGCGATGAATGAGAAATTCTCCAAAGTTGGTTGGTTTTCACAACGCAGTTGATAGGATTTGCATCTTCTAATTTGTTATTTTGCTTCGTGATTTTTGCAGTAATCAACCGTTGATATTGCACTAAAATTTGTAACCTATAACAGTTTTTTTTGTTGTGATTTTTGTTATCTGCTTTTGATTGAGGCATATTTGTTACAGTAATAACTTTTAATAATATGTACTTCCACCAAAAAAAAAACAAAGAACCCCTTAGTAATATGTACTTTATGGTTCTTACTGGTGGTAACATGTAGAAGTTTGGGTGTGACATGCATTTATTACATGTAACAATGACTTTAGAAATGAGTAATAACAAAATATAACTGGTGCTATACTGTAACAAACATATATTCATATGTGAATGACTTTGGAAAGGTGTAACGGAGAACGAATAATTGATGTTACACCCCGGCTTACGTGGTACAATGTAGAATGACCCAATCTAAAACCCTACTTTTATATTATCATCCTTTAAGCACAGCCATGAAAAATTGGTTGCTTGGTTGTTGCAAAGTGGATATTGCTTGCTAGGAATGTTGTCTTTTTGGCAGGGTTATATGTACTACCTACATGTCCCCCAATATAATTGCCGTTTAAGTAGTACCCGGTTTTCGGAATTGTTGTTTTGATTGTCTGTGAAGTGGTGTAATTAAAGCTTTTATGTCCTAATTCAATTTTAAATGTTGCAGAAGCTGAGAGGAAGAAGTATCTTGATCAATTCTTATATACAGAGCAGGAACTTGCTGCTGCAAAAGGACGCGAACAATCACTGCAAGAACAGCTTTTGAAGGATGTCACTGATTCTCAGGAACGTTTTAGAAAGCAAATAGAGTCATACAGCAAACTTGAGGTAGGTTTTTTATTTTTTTTATTTTTTTTTATTTTAATAATGAACAATGATTGATGATTTAATTCCTTCTAATGCTTAAATAATTTCATTACGACTAACATCTACAGGTCAAATAGAAATAGGTTGGCAAACTGTTTGCGTGTACTTGGAGAATGTTTTGATTGTATTTTTATTTTACCAATGACACTAGAGTAATCAATTTTAAATGTTTTGATTGTATTTTTATTTTACCAATGACACTAGAGTAATCAATTTTACATATCATATGGATCCATATAACTTCTTTCATTTTATTTGTTTTTTCCTTTATCTGGTTTAGGTAAAGCTCCAAAGCGAAATGAACCTCCGCATGAAAGCCGAGTCTTCTGCAGCTTCAGCCGAAGAAGATGTAGGTATTTTGAAGGAAAAACTAAGCCATCTTTCTGAAAGCACAGGAAGGGGGAGAAGATGTCTCGAAAGTGAGATTGAACAGCTGAAAGGAGACTCAAAGCTTTCAGCTACTAGAATAAGTGCTGAAGTGAGTGGTGCATATGTGCTCGTTGAGTCGCCTGCATTGAGCCATTTACCACACGTTATTTAACTTATATAGTTTTTTCTTTGAAGCTTGAACGAATGGAGTTCAGAGCTAACAATGCAGAGAAAGAATCACAGCTACTGAAAGAGCAGCTAGAAGATTCACAGAAGCAATTTAAGGAGGTTTGTTTCTCACTCTCCTATTTATATGGATTTTGGCTCTCATCTATACAACACACATATTCCTCTCTCCTCTTCTCTTTCTCTTTCTACATTTTGCTCTTCCTAGTCCTACATCAAAACTCTTTGAGTCTCCGTTTTAGCGTGATATCTATTTGTTTTAATTTTGTATCAGTTTAGTGGTGGATTAATAATCTTATTACATTTCTTTTCCCAGTGTTTGCACCTGAAGGGTGAACTAGAGAAGAAATTGTCAAGTTTCACATTTCAAGAAGTTACTCCTAGTCCTACGGAGAGTCATATTTTGGTTAAACATCTGCAAGAAGAGCTTAGGAACTATGTAAGTTTGTTGCATATTTCTACCCCTTTGTAGTTGGCCTCTCAAGCTGTCAATTTGTGATGATTAGCATCAAGTAAAGTTACTGCCATTCGAAAAATTTAAATCTTTGTTCTCATCTGTCTTGTTTATTTCCTGCCATTTTGTAAATTGTACACTATCTTACTGCTATTTCTTATTATAATCCATAAAGGTTTATCATTTATGCTATTGCTCGATCATTCATATTTTGCTAGTAGAATCAAGTATCTCTATAATAGCATAGATGATATAACTTACGCATTAGCTAATGTAAGTATGTTGGATCGGGTGTGTGGTATTTCACGTCAGAAGTTTCAGCCTGTCCAGGCTTAAATCCGTCAATTTTAATCCCCAAATTCAGCTATACTTATATAGGTATATTCCTTATTCTTAGTTAGATGGATGTTTTTTGTCATCAGTGTTTCATCGCCCTTTGGTTATTGTTGTTTCCATTGTACTCCTTTTCTGTTCTTTCTGAGGATACCTTGTCCTCAAAGCTTTCAGTTATTTGGCTTTAATAAATTTACGAAATTCTTTTCTTGTTCTTTTTGCGGATACCTTGTCCCCAGAGCTTTCTGCTGTTTGGCTTCCATGAACTAATAAAATTCTGTTTCTCGCACCCAAAAAAAAAAAAAGGAAAGAAAAAAAAAAGAAAAGGAAAACTTATACAGAGGGGTTTCAGTTGGGAGAAAGTGTCATACCACTTTAGGTGGGTGATTAATTGGTTTGAATTCACGTTTCACTAATTGAATGAGTAATGAGCGTGAGTTCAGTTGAATAATATTCTTTAGCTCAACAAATCTAGATTGCTGCTGAATCTGTGCTAATAAGGAATTCGATAACAACCTAGCATCTAGCCCTTTAGCAATATTGCTGGGCTAAGCTCCTGCAAAAGTTATCTTTAGGGGTCCAAAAATCTCTTATTTGCTGTTGTTTGGGTATTTAGTTGGTATCTAACGGGACAGTGCTGGGATGAGTATTTGGCGATAAAATGTATGATACTGTACATCACATCAGTTTTCCGTTTGAGCTTAGTAGCATTCTTGATTTATTGCAGACTAGACTCTAGAGGTACAACTGTTGTCCAAATAAGTGAATAAAATCATTTATGTTCTAAGAGGATGCAACCTATGTAAAATAGATGGTTTCTCCCCACCCCTGGGAATATAGGATAATTTATTCCTGATTAATGTATGACGCTAGTTGCTAATATCACCTAATTTATAATTTCTGATCAATTTTTAGATTGCATTTATTGATTTAAACAATGAAGTACGAATAAAACTAGTTGAGCCCTGTTGGGTTAATTACTAGGTAAAGAGTTGGTGTAATTTTACTTATTCGTGGAATTTCATTACTAGGAGGCTGAAGTGAGAGAAGCTAGGAAGTTGAAATCATCTCATGAAAATATCGAGTTGTTGAAGGAAAAACTTTTGGAAGAAAAAGGTCGTCGAGAGAGGGCAGAGTCAGAATTGTCTAAATTACAAGAGATTCAGCTAAGTATGAAGAAGTTGGAGGATGAATTGTCATTTTGGAAGTTGGTGACTAAAGACATTCCTGGAGTGTCTTGTTCTGAGGACCTACCTGTCAAGTTTGCAGCTTTACAGAGGTAAGCATGTAGTTTTCATAACAGTAGTATGAGACCGAAGTTTGTTTTATTTATTTATTTATACTCTTCAGGTCCCCTTTCCTCAGGTGGACAAAGGGAAAATCAAACCTTAGTTTATAGGTTGTACTTGTATTCATTTGTACAAGCATGCTTTTGTTATCTTTCATTAGTAAAATTTTCACTTTGATGCAGAGAGGTTATTGATGGCACAATGAAGGTCGGTGAGGTAAATGCTCGCCTGAAGCAATTGGAGGTCGCTTTGGATTCTGCTCAAATAGATAAACAAAAAGCCGAAGCTGAGGCTGCTTTGGCCAAGGAGAAGGCAGAAGTGTTGAAATCTGAGGTTAAGCAGATTCAGACGATGGTAAATCTTCATTCTTGAATTAGTTATTTATAACTGAAAAGAAATTTCAAGTCAATTGATTAACGTAGTATATAGGTAGATGGGGACACCTGAAGAAGGGATTATGTTAAAAGATGTCTTGATTTGCAATTCTGATATAGCTAATGGTGTTCTATCCTTGTATGACCAGGAGAATTTCTTCACCTATTTCAATTTTGTCCATCAAGCATATAAGAACAGTCATCTTATGGTTACATTATGATTTTTCTGTGAATAGGAGTAGGACTCCTACTTTTTCCAACGGCAGCAAAAAATCTTCGCCGTATGTGGGTTTTTCCAAGTGTTTTATTGTTAAGTATAATAAAGGATAATTATAGGGCAATTGTTTTTATTTCTCCACTTTTTATGGATTAAAAAATGGGAAATTCGCAGCTTACCATGGTCACTGATGAAAGGGATAACTTGAGAAATATTGTTAATGAGTTGAAGAAATCCAATAGTGGTGAAGCAGGGAATCAAGAAGCAAGTGGAACTGGAACACTTATTCAGGTCAGGAAAATTTATTTATTTATTTATGTTTTTTTTCCTTTTCTAGGATAATTTTAAGTGGCGGGACTTCTCCTAAGGTCCTTTCTTTGGTCGTTTTGTTTGCCCTTGCAGGGGCTTGAATCATGTATTGAGAAGAAAGAATGCTATATTAAAGAGTTGGAGACTAGTTTAAGTGTCCAAAAGGAAGCCAATAATTGTCAATACGAGGAAGTTAAGTTACTCAATGAGAGGTTAAATAATGAAGCAAAAAGAATAAAATCACTGGAGAGGGAGAATGATAGGCTTCGTTCAGAGATCTCTTTATTGGAGTCCAAGGTAGGCCCCAATAACATCTTGAGGATTATGGACATTGTCATTTTTCTTGGTGCACCTATAGTGGATGCTTACTGGAAGGCTCTATTCTTTTTAGGTTTTTTCCCCTTCCTAAAAGACTAGATGCAATATGAGCTTTTCCTAGCATCTTTATCTTTTCTCTAAGCAAGGGGACTGGAAATAGAAAAATAAAAAGAATATGGCCCGACTTTTGTGTGTGTTTTCCACATACATGCATGTCTTACAATTGAACTCCACGTTTTGGTTCTTATATGCTTTACTGTTTAGCTTCACCCTGATACCTTTAACTTCTTGCCAGGACTTCCAAGCAAAAAGATGATTGCTCTGCTAATTTTAATTTATTTTATTTTTTACTCGAAAACGTATTGGTATGCTTATTGAGTTACATCAAATCCCATCTCTTTTATTTTTTAATCTCAGTGTCTTCTCACATCACTGAAAAACGATCAACTTTCTATGAAAACGTATTGGTATGCTTATTGAGTTACATCAAATCCCATCTCTTTTACTTTTTAATCTCAGTGTCTTCTCACATCACTGAAAAACGATCAACTTTCTAAAAAGCTCACTTTCTTTTGTTATTGACTTCTTGCCTAGTAATATATACTGTCTTTTTTCCCCCCTTGCAAAGCTGGGCCATGGTGATTTTTCTGCTGCAAATACCAAAGTCTTGCGCATGGTAAATACTTTAGCAGTCGATAACGAGGCAAAACAAACCATAGAGGCATTAAGAACTGAGCTACAAAAGACGAAAGAGAGGTTACAAGCCGTTGAAGAATTGAAAAGTCAGTCGGGTATAAGCGCTGTTCCTTGAATGGAAGAATCTTTATGTTTCTCCAATCTCGTTCCTTTTAAAATGACTTTTTCTTATAAATTATGACGGAGATTAACCAAGTTAATATGGTATGACTTATTTATGCTTTTGGATTTCTAAGAATGTTGTCAATCAAAAGGCTATCTTGCATTTTGTACTTTTTAACTTTATACTTGCGTCTGAAGACAATATATTACTGAAAGAAAACTTACTAGTCTGGTAAACTTTACAGGTGACTCTGGGAAACTAGTCGATTCATACATTTCAGGGAAGATAACACAGTTAAAGGAACAAATTGCAACATTAGAAAAACGTGAAGAAAGGTTTCTTTCTTGATAAAGATCTGTGCTTATCTTTCTAGTCATATCTAAATAGTTGTAAACTTATGCCGTTCCAATTTGACTGAAACATTTGAATTTGACCACTCAACAGATACAAGACCGTCTTTGCCGATAGAATTTCAGTGTTCAGAAGGGCATGTTGTGAAATTTTCGGTTACAAGGTAATCTACATGTCGCTATCTGTGTTCCCACCCCCTCCTTTTTAGTGTTCTGTTCTTTTAAAACTTGATCATAATGCGATAGCCTGATTTGTTTTAGATAGAGATTTTAGGTGGAGTACAGGGACTAATTCTGTCTCCATTGAGTTAATTAGTGGTTACATGTTTAATTTACTTTTGACACGACGTAGGTCAACTTATTTTGTCATCTTACTTATCAGAAATCATTCTCACAGAAAGTGTAGGTTTTAAAATGATCGTTAAAACTTGAAGTCTAACGATTTTCGATTCTTTTGATGAATGTTTCTATCAATTGCCCCTTTCTCTTTCATTCCCCTCATGTTCTATCATGTATTTTAACGGGTTTACCGTTTATGCTAATATCTTTATCTTAAAAATAGGATTCTTCTGCAAGTACTCCAGTTCATTTTGGTTATATCTCTACGTGCTTTATTTAGATATTGAACACATCCATATGTGGTGTATTTAGATATATGCAATAAGAGGGAAACCTTGACATTAGAGCATCTCCAATGTAATGCTATAATTAATGTGCCAATTACAAATTTAACATTTGAGTGCAAAAAACACTCTCCAATGCAATGCTATTTGTTGTGCCAAATTTTTCATATGCTATAATACTATGTGGCAAATTTCCCACCAAGTATAGCATATGGGAAATTTGGCATTTGATTATTATTGGTTGAAATGTTTACTTTTTCCATGTAATCAATGCTTTTGCATTTTCTAATTATTTTAAAAAATAAAAGTTTATTTTAACAACTTCCAAAGCTTAATAATTATAGGAAAAAGTAGATTTAGTATTTAAAATAGCATTATGCATTGGAACAAAAATGAAAATGACATCCCATATCATAGTTTTTGATGTTAAATATACAATTAGCATTAGCATTTGCATTCGAGATGGTCTTACCAATAAATATACCTTTTTGGTCAGATTGTAATGGACGACCAACAGCGGCCTAATGGAATTCCGGTAACACGATTTACTCTCCAATCCATTTATGCACAAAGCGATGACGAGAAGCTTGAATTTGAATATGAATCAGGGAATACAAATATTTTGGTAAGATAGTCAACTTCGGTCATATAGTAGGATTTCCTGTGTCGTACAAAAACAAATGGAAAGTTGTGTTTAGAATTTGTTCTAAACTTATGAGCTTTAAACCATTTTTTTTTTTCCTTATCAACAGGCAAACAGTTATAGCTCTCAGCGTGAGATATCACAGCAGGTACTTTTTTCGATTTTTGTTTTCATACCGTTTGGTAGTAAGGACACTGCTTCTCATTGTAGTTTAAATTCCATCCTGCATTTAGATCAGTATCTTGAGAATCCATGCCAGAACAGTGAAAGATGTACAAGTTGTTGGATTGTTTGTTTTCTATGACATGTTAAAATCAATCATTTATTACCCTTTCTATGACATGATTGTTACGTAACCATCGGCAGTTGCTCATTAAATATAGAAATGTGATGACGTGGCGTGATAAGAATCTAATGGTCATATACACACATGTGTGTCTTGGTTTATCCATGCTTTCCGATATGGATGCAACTCATTTGATGACTGCGCATCTTGCAGGTTGAGATATATATTCGGAAGTTAAATTCGATTCCAGCTTTCACTGCTAACTTGACAGTGGAGTCTTTCAACAGGAGAACCCTGTCCTAAAATGGTTCAACTCACCTTTGAATTGGCATAAATCCATCTCTACCGCAGATGACTCGACGGGTCGTATGAATCTTTGACATCCTAAACAGTCTTGCATGTTGTTGGCTTTGTTTGCTGTTCCTGTAATACGTCCACATAAAATGTTTTTGTTTCTGCTTATGCAGATAGCCATGAGAATTGAGAAAGAAGGTTTGGAAATGTGATCTGGGTTTGTGGCAATATGTTGAATGGATGTTTGTTATGTCTTATTGAACATTTTGAGTTATATATTGAACTTTTCATAATTTATTATGTGCAATATCTTTATATTTATGATAACAGTGTATCGTTGATGTAGACCTTAGCACAGAGGATTACTGTGCTAAGGTTGGAAACATCTGACGCTGTTCCTCTGTCTTTTTATTTTGACAATATCGTCCCTCAACTTGTATTTTAGTAAATATTTGGACCAATTGAAAACGACTGTCTAATTTTGGGTGTAGAAAAAAAAAACACGTATCAAAATTAAAATCGAAAAACAAATATATATATATATATATTTTTTAGTAAATTCATGTTCAACTGCTATTTCTTCGAAAAGGGAGAAAATTTCAGAAAGTTGGATATTTTCTTTCTTTCTTTCATTTTTTTTTGAAGTAAAAACGTCTGATGATTTTAACTCGATTCCAAAAAAACAAATGTCATTTTCAAAAAAAAAAAAAAAACCACTATCACGTAGTTTTATCAATAAACGACAAAGAACTTTTAAATGACAAACTTTCATATCGTTTATTTGCTCAAACGAACAAACTTTACGATCAACAAACCTGTCGTTTTTTCTTTTGACAAGAACCAACCTTTTTTGTTATTTTTATTTATTTATTTTTTAATGTGAAAACCTTTCGTTTTTAAGCTAAGAGGAAAACAAATACTGAAACAAACGACAAGTCGTTTACTATCGAAGCCAACATATCATTCTCTCAACTTAAAACGACATGTCACGTTAAAACTTGAGATCCCTGACCATCTCTTCCAAGCCCCAATTTCCCACTCCTCTCGCCGGTCTTCCCTGAGCCACAGCCTCCATTTCTTGAGTACGATTTTCATTTTCTATTTGTTGTCCATCTTTTGTTTCATTTGAGATTATTCTGTGTAATATATTTATATATTTTTTTTTAATTTTGGGATCTTTTTCTGAAATTTCTATGTTTGCTCTATGTTTCTCTTTGTTTTAAGTTTGTTTCTTTATCTATTACTCTTTGATTCTTACTTTTTCCCCTTTATATTATAATATTATGTTCATACTTACGGAGGTTAATTTGTATATTTTTAAGTCTCAAATTTATTGTAAAGCTTTTGAATTGAAGGAACTTATGTATGTATGTATGTATGTTAATAATGCAGATATATTTATGTTTTTTTTTTTGGGGCATATTGTGGGGAATTAAATGATGGTCAGAACCTGTTTGATAAAATGTCTAAGAGAGAAATTTATATATGTGGAAATCCTTTCAAGTCCTTCTATAACTAGTTAGTTGTATAATGCATGAAAGGTGTTTGATGGAATAACCAACATATTTATATATATATTTTATATATTTGGCTCAATAAGCTTCAGTTTGATGTATAATGCATAAAAGGTGTTTGATGGAATAACCAAAATATATATATATATATATTTTTTTTTTTTGCAGAATAAAATTTAGGTTAAAAAAAAGCCAGTTTTGGTCTCTGTTTACACCTTTTGAACTTTGAAGCTCCACAACAGAAAAATGGCTTCCTTCTGCAGATCAGCTCTAATGGCGGGCACTAGATTATCCATGGCGGCTCGTCGCAAAGTCCCAACCCCCAATTCCCAGTACCTCATTTCTTCTCCATTCTCTTCAGATGCTGGAACTAACCCTCAAGCTTCACGGTACAATAACACTGTTATCATTTTGAATGTTATATTCTTTGATTCTGAATTATGTTTTATTGATGTTATTGTGAAGTGAAGGACTGTTTCTGCTTTTGGAAAGGTCGAGTCATTGAAACCACTTCACCGTCTCAATACACCCGCTCCCATCAAATCCAAGGGACTTTTGGTCCAAACGAGCCCCCAAATTTGCGTGGCGATCTGATCTTTTGATTGCGAACTTGTCGAAAACCGTTCTGCAGATCCGAAGAAGATTGCCTCGCCAAAAACAATGCACCCTGAGATAACCAAAACTTTGACGAATTTTGAGCAGCTACATTTGGAGGACCAATTGCCGGTCGGGGGTTTGATTGCCTGAGACTCGGAGGCTGTACACTTTGTTACAATCGCCTCGTGTTCATAAGAAGTCGCGAGAGCAATTCGAAATCAGAACCAATAAGCAGTGTTTGGTCATACAAACGACGGAGAAAGATGAGTGGAAAAGGAAATTCTTTTGGTTGAAGAATGGCCGTGCTTTCCTTTGATTCTACCTCCCGGAGCTGACTTTTTTCTCAAGGTACCATATTATGTTTTTTTGTTCATTTGTTTGGTTTAACTTTTTTATTTTTTGGTTGTCAGTGAACATATTACTGGATGGTTTTGCATAAATGAGTAAAAAGAATGTCTTGATTACTGAAATTTTGGACTTTGTATCATTCAGCTTATTTGAACTTGTTTATGAGTTGCTTCTTAATTGAATTATCCATTTTCTTATGTATTTTCTTTGAATTCTATAGTGTTTTGTGCATGGTGCATTGGTTGAAGTTGGAGCAATTACTTCTACAATGATAATTTTTCTCCTGCTTATATAGTAATAGTTGTCTCTTTTGACAACTTGGAGTGGTGTTTTTATATATGTATTTTTTGTCATAGTTCATCGACTGCATGCATATTTATGAATTGAATTGCACCCTCACTGGCTTCACAAAATGTATAGTTGGCAGAAATAGTCGTGGAAAACAGAACATGATTATAGCTTAACATGTGTCGATTTGTGGGGTCGGAGGGAGGGGGGGCCGAGTTAGAATTCTTTTCACAATCATAGCGAATTTCACTTAAATGATTAGTTGTTCCAGATAACTTGTTAAAGTTACTGGTTGTATAGACTCGAACTTCTCTTTCTATATGACATGTCGTTAAACCTCACGGCCATAGGTTAGAATTTTCGGGATTACATTGATATATCCCTTGGTTGATCTCATCTGTGTCAGTACGTCGATTCCTTGAAGCTCGCGGCAGAGTTTGGTTCCCAGAAGCACTGTTGATTTTGTTAGCTATTTTCTTTTGTTGCTGACCTGGAATTATACCCTGCAGATGTATTGTCATTTTCCGCTCTGAACTTTCCACATTAATCATATCTTGTTGCATGGTGCATCCTACTCAACGTGTTGCATATTTTTTTAGAATTTCTTTATCTACTGATTATCATCATTTCATGGCCTTCATAGCTAACACTGAAAATGATTCCGGGGTTCCGTCATTTCATGTTACATTGGCCTCTGCATATCAATCGTTTTTATTCTACTCATCTTGGTTCTGCCATTTTTTCTTTGTATTTCCTTTTATTTTTGACTTCTGGTCTTTGTTTCATTTGGTATAGGGTATTACATAATAGTACACATTCTTATTAATGTTTTAAGTTTCAATTAGTATAGGGTATTACATAATAGTACACATCAATGTCGTTTTATTCTTATTCTGGCATTTTTCTTTTCCTTTTAAGAAACCGGCTTTTGCTTAACATTATTTTGAAATGAGCTATTTGTTATATACATATATGTGTGTGTGTGTGTTTTCCTTTTCAGAAAATACAAACATAGTTGAGGGAGTTCTTTTTTTCCTTATCACAAGCCGCGTGACGTACAAATGAACACCTTTGAACAAGGAATCCCAATAGTAAATTTTAATAATTGATCATTTATTTTATAACTCAAACTATACTGAAACTTAACAGTCCCCATTTTTTTTTTTTCCCTGCAGATCCAAGAAATTCCACAGGTTTTGGATAAAACTTTGCAATCCCCATTTCTCCTTTTTAATTGACATAGACTCATGTCCTCTACTAAAATGAGGAGATAGCTCAGCTAGTAGAGCATAGGACTGAAAACCAATCCTTTTAGGCTTTTCCTACAAATTCCTTAAAACAGTTCTCCACCAAGCCCTGATTTACTAGAGTATGGCCCTGTTTCTTTTTAGAGAAAGTTAGGCCCCGTTCACTTCACCGATTTGAGTTTAGAATTCGAGTTTTGCTACATCAAATTCCTTAAAACAGTTCTCCACCAAGCCCTGATTTGCTAGAGTATGGCCTTGTTTCTTTTTAGAGAGAGTTAGTGAACTCATCCGTTGAATGCATTGTTCTAAGATTTTTATTTTTTATTCTTGATTAATACTCTTTTGACTAATATAGTTTTTTAGTTAAAGAGTACTAATCAAAGGATAAAAATTTAAAACTCGTGCATTTTAAGGGGCATTTATCTCATTTTCTTTTCTTTTTATGTGATTTTCTGTTGAAAAGAAAAACATGAGGTGTCTTCAATGACCTGGGCTACGCAAAACTCATCTAGTCCTTAGGGGAACTCATCCGTTGAATACATTGTTCTAAGATTTTTATTTTTTATTCTTGATTAATATCCTTTTGACTAATATAGTTCTTTAGTTAAAGAGTACTAATCAAGTGTAAAGGATAAAAATTTAAAACTCGTGCATTTTAAGGGGCATTTATCTTATTTTCCTTTTTTTTTTTATGCGATTTTCTGTTGAAAAGAAAAACACGAGGTGTCTTCAATGACCTGGGCTACGCAAAACTCATCTAGTCCTTAGGGCAGTGGACTCTCATTCTAGATGATTTTTATGGTTTATTTTTAGGCTCTTTGCAGGAATACTTCAAATTCAAGGCTTTAATTGATTTATGCCATGAGAACAAAACACTTCAAAAGAATATCACGTCGTGCCATCATAATATGTTTGGAATACCAAATACACCGTTAAGCTACTGACAATCATCCATCATTGATATCGGTTGATATCCATTGTGCTACCGGTTATCAAATTGTATACACTATGATATAAGTTGGTAATTGCCATGATACTAGCATATCGGTATTCACCATGATGCTGGTCGATATCCAGGAAAATTGCAGTTATAGACAGGTGGCGATCGAACATACTACCGCCGTTTTTCACCAATACACATAAAAATTTTAAAAAAATTCCATCAAAATGATTACGAACACAAATAAATAAAAAAAATTGGTTTATT